GAGTTAGAGTCAGCGTCAGAGTCAGAGACAGAGATGGGGAACAAGAATTTAACGACAGCAAATACAAGTACAAGTATAATTGCACAAACACATAGGTTCATATTGATATCTCCATGATGAAATAGTGTTCTTAAGAGTAGACAGGAATCAGACAATTTAGATGTTTGATTGAATGTTGTTATTGTTTTTTTGTAGAGTAATCAGAGTTAATTAACTAACTATGGTAGTGCATGAATATGAATATGAATATGAATATGAATGTGAATGTGAATGTGAGTGTGAGTGTGGGAGGAGAGAGGGATCTTGGAAGAATAGTAAACTGGATTACAGAACGCATAGGTTCGTGAATGTTGGAACATGTAACTTACACAAAAATAGAATGAGACAATGTTAAGATGGAAAATACATACATATAAATATATCTATATTATTTTTTATATAAATAAATAAATGAATATAGGTATAAAAATTGCCATCAGTAGGATAGGTTACTACAGTTACTTTTTTACATGAACAAATACATCTTGTAGTGTGTGTATCTTGCCTCAGAGGAGAAAAAATTACGGAAATATGTTCAAGTTCCGGGGAAGGGAGAAGACAATACAATTTAGGGCAAACACAAGATCAAAGCGGGCGGGTACTTTTGTGTTATTTCCAGATCATCTTTGTCTGGTATGTGAGAGTCAGAGTGGCTTTGATTCGAATACAACTGTCATCACATAAATAGAGAGGGTTAAGTAAGATATGGATGGATATTATCAGTAGTTTGATTAGTATACCATTTCGTCTCGTCTCAACTCTTCTCTTTTTATCTCCCTTTCTTTATCCCCCTTTACTATTCCCAATTCTTATTCTTATTCTTATTCTTGTTCATTTGTGAAAACTCGGAGAGATACCAGCAAGAAAGAGCGTCCCCCTGCCCCTCCAGCCCCTTGCCACCAAGAAAAGCAAAAAACAATCCATCTTCGTCCCGGTTCTTATTCTAATTATTACGGGCACCGTGGTCAATGGGGAGAGATACCCCTTCCATCAACCCAAGCCTGGGTCTAGTCTCGCCCAGTGAGAGCCTAGTATATTTGCGACTTGACTTGACTTGGCTGTTTCGACCACTAGGCAAAGTCAGGCGTTTTAGCGGTCTTACCACCGAGCGAGTATACATGCCCCCTTTCTCTGTTTCTCTTGCATCAATCAGCTCGAATCAATGTAAAAAAACCTTGTTCGGCTTATCTCAGTTCTTGTTACTGACTGTTTCTGGATATCCCAGCCTGTACATTTGCTGTGCATTTGCTGTTGCTGTTGCTGTTGCTTTTCCCGTTGCCGTTGCCGTTGCCGATGCCGATGCTGGAACGGACGGTCCTCTTGGATGGAAGCGGCAGCGAGAACGCGAGAGAAAAGAAAAAGAAAAAGAAAAAGAAAGCAAATGTGGTTTTCTGGTCAAACCAGCGTAGGGTGTTTTACGTGTGTCTCTCCTGCAAGTTACCGTTTGTCGTCCTCGTCGTTGCTTCAGCTTCCCGGGGGAAGCTTCTTCTTTGATCTGGTCTTTTGGTTGAAGTTATTACCACATTTCGAATCTGATCTTGGGTTGGCTTGGGTTGGCTTGAGTGAGTTCTTGCCAGTTCTTGGTTGATCCGGTCGGTCCATTTTTGCTCTTACGCCCACGGCTCTGGCTCTTGCTCTTGCTCTTGCTCTTGCTCTTGCTCTTGCTGTCCAATTACTCTTCCCTCCCCCTTTCCTTCTCTTCCCCCCCCCCCACGCTCCATTCTCTGGCCAGTTCCGTTGCTTCTTTCTTTTCAATAACTTTTAAATCATCGCTCTCCGTACGGACTGCCCACTGGCCCGTTGGCTGGCAAGTTTGCTGGCTCCCCGTCTCTCTCTCTCTCTTTCGTGTTTCCCGAGTATTCCGTCTCTTTTCTTTCTTTCTTAATATCTCGATGTTCGATGTTTCAATCTCTGCTCTGGCTCATACTTCTCACAACTATCACACTTCGCTTTCGAGAACTATAAGCTAACGATAAGCTGCTATCTATATAATTCAATATCTCTTTTACTCTTTTACTCTCTCTTGCTTTGTTGTTTCGTTTCATTTCGTTTCTTATGGTACATCTTGTATTATAAATCTATTGTCGTGTTCCTCTATATAACACATTATAAATTATAAATTAAATTGATCATTATATTCTATATTTTATTTTCATATTTATATCAGATTTATATGATATCATATCATATCATATCATATCATATCATACCATCTTCAATCAACTCTGTGTATATAACTCAATATTAGATTACACTGGCTTTCTTTCGTTCCTTTAAACAAAGCTAAAGTTTAGATTATAAGTTACTTCAACTTGTCTTGGTACGCTAATATCATATAACGATATACTTTAGATCCATTGCTATAAAAAGAGACTTCGCCTATCCATTCCATATCCATATCCATATCCATATCAATATCCATATCAATATCAATATCTATAACCCAGAAAGTTTTCATTTCTATCTCTACTTCTATTTTTATTTATCTTTTTTTTTTGTTTAACTTGATATTATCATCTCCATTTCAAGAACTAATATTGATCTAGATCTCAATACATCTACATCTACATTTACATATAAATACACCAATACCAAGTTCGCTAAAATAATGTCAAGCTCAAGATTAAGAGCTTACAACACAGATACCGTCAAATCTTTGGCTCTGGTCACAAGTGAAGGTATAGTCATCAAATCACAAATCTCTCCAAAAAAATCAAACTGCTACTCATGCTGTGGTTGTCTCTCCTTCTTTGAATCAAACAAACAAGATTCAAACTATAACCATGAATATCCTTACCATTCTGCAATGGATAACGTTTCAGGTAACATCATCATTCCTTATGGCAGAATTTTAAACGTGGAGTATTTAGATGGCGCAAATAATAATAATAATAATAGTAATAATAATAATAGTAACAACAATACTAATAACATTAACAATAATAACAACAATAATAACAATAATAATAATAATAATAATAATAATAACAATAGTAGCAGCAGCAGTAGTAGTAATAATAATAGTAGTAGCAACAGCTCCTCACCTACTCCAATCAGCATTAGCATTAGAAGAAAATCCGAATCACCTCCAAAATACATCTCTAAAAAATCTTCCATAATTGAAATTACAAGACCTGAAAGTCCATTCGATGTAGCTGTACCACTCCCTGTCGATGTAAACTCCGTTGCAATTTTAATGACTTATGTCGAAGCAAAATCAAACGATATAGTGATTAAAAAAGTCTCTCTATCAATCGATATTACTACTATTGGTGCAAAAGGTGATGTCGTTCAAGAAATTTTAGATAGAAGTTATAAAGATGCTAAAAGAAATAGATCGATTTTAGTAGTTATCAATCCATATGGTGGTAAAGGTAAGGCAAAAAAATTGTACCTAAATAAATGTCATGACATTTTGATTCAAAGTAAATGTAAAGTTGACATAGTTTATACAAATTATGGGGGCCATGCAATTGATATAGGTCGTGAATTAGATATTTCAAAATATGATACTATTGCTTGTGCTTCTGGTGATGGTATACCTTATGAAATTTTAAATGGTTTATATCAGAGACCTGATAGAGTCGAAGCATTCAATAAATTAGCAATCACTCAACTACCATGTGGTTCAGGTAACGCAATGAGTATCTCATGTCATTGGTCGAGTAACCCTTCATATTCCGCATTATGCTTAGTTAAAGGTACAGAAGCAAGAATTGATCTAATGTGTTGTTCTCAAGACTCATACTACAAGGAATCTCCAAGACTTTCTTTCTTAAGTCAAACTTTTGGTGCTATTGCTGAATCAGATATTAACACAGAATGTATTAGATGGATGGGTCCCGCTAGATTCGATATAGGTGTGGCATTAAATGTAATCCAAAGAAAAAAATATCCTTGTGATATCTATGTCAAATATTTAGCTGAAGATAAAGATCGTGTAAAGGATCATTATATTCAGAAAAAGGGTAGCCCAGCATTATTATTAGAAGATAGCCTAAATTCACAAAAATTTAATGATCCAAGTCCAGTAACAAAGGAAAGTTTTGAATTAAAATATCCTCTAGACAATGGTGTACCTGATGATTGGGTTAGAATCGATCCAAACTTAACAAATAATTTGGGTATCTTTTATACAGGTAAGATGCCATATATGGCTTTAGATGTTAAATTTTTCCCAGCGGCTTTGCCTTCAGATGGTGCGATTGATATGGTTTTAACAGATGCCACTACCCCTATCTATAATATGATCGGTATATTAACTTCTCTAGACACCGGAAGTCATGTCTTAGATCCAAAGGTCATTCATTCAAAAGTGTTAGCATACAAAATCATTCCAAAAATCAAAAATAGTTTATTCTCTGTTGATGGTGAAAAATTCCCATTGGAACCTTTACAAGTTGAAGTTTTACCAAAGCTTTGTAAAACTATCCTAAGAAATGGTAAATATATTGATACAGAATTTGAATCTCTGTGATTTTCCCCTTCATTTTCATATTCAAGTTTGCTGAACGTTGACGGATAGCATGGAATCAGTTGCATAAAGAATTAATAGATTTATATAATAATTTTTTCACTAAAAATTCTTCTACATAGCAGGTAATTAGATTTATTTATATGACTTACTTAACAATAAAATAGTTTTAAATATAAAATCCTTAAAACTTTAAATGAAATTCATTCAAATATGCCCATTATATTGAACCTAAGCGACATCTTATATTCTCACTTTATCGATAAAATATTTATTAGATGTAGATATATATAATTTACAGAAACTATAGTAAATATACTTATTTCTTACCGGACTTCTTGATACCACCACCAACTAATGGCTTACCACCCTTAACATTAGCCATCATAGCTTTCTTGGCAGCAGCATCAGCTTTTTGCTTTTCCTTGAAGGCAACTTCTTCAGGATCTAAATCCTGTTGTTGCTTCTTCTTTTGTTTTAGAGGCTTCATCTTACCACCTTGACGACCAGACATCTTGAATTAGTGATTTCTATTGAGCTTTGTAGGGGTATTCGTAACTCTACGTACTACAAGAATACAGTCATCTCTGAATAGAATTAAGTATTTTAAACTAATTCATCATCTTAAATCTTTTCGATATTTTTTTTTTTTTTTTTTTTGGTTAAATTAAAACCTGTTTGATAGAAATTTAAGTCCTTCACAGCAACTCTGCGGGATTTTACTAGAAGGTTTTTGAAAACTTGTTGAATTACAGTAAAATTATTTTAATGTATTTAAAATCTATTCTTAATGCTTAGGATGTTTAACTGCAATTTATTGAATTATTATTCATTGAAATTAAAGGAACATAAACCTTTAATAATTTTTTTTGTTTTGAGTTCAATATAATATTTTCCATTTCAATAATTAATTTCAAAGGTCAAATACTTTAAATTAACCTACCTAAACATAAATATCATTGAATTTTTATAAATTTATAGTTAAAGTCTCATTAAATATTATATAAATAAATGGCTACACAATTTATAGACTTTTTATTTTATTTTTTCTATTTGCTGGTATCTTTCAAACTAACAATTCTGTTCAAAATAATCTTGTCATCACTGCTATCTTTATCTAAGGTGAAGTAACCAACTCTCATTGCTTGGAATCTACAGATTTCCTTAGCATCCTTATCTTCATCAACGTAGAATTCAGAGTTTTTAGTAGCTTCAACAACCCATGGTGAACTCTTAACAATGGCATTAAAATTGTGTTCAACAACAGCATTTTTATAAACAGCTTCACTTTCTGGGTTGATATCCTCTAAGTAACCATCTGGATGAGATGAAGGGTTTTCTGATTTGAATAATTGGTTGTATACTCTTGTTTCAGCGATTCTAATTGGCGAGTTGTGCTTGGATGATACTGGAACCCATTGGATATAAGTCTTTGGTTTCTTTGGTTTACCTTCTTTTTGTTCATTATCATAGTTTACATGTAATCTAATAATCTTACCACTTTCATCCTTTTCTAAGCTCTTGAAGGAAACAGTGTGCGGAACTTTAATCAAACCAACTGGCTGAGTTGGAGTCAATCTAAAGAACTCAGAATCATCAGTATTCTCGCTGAAATCAGATCTTTCAATGTAGAATTTCTTTGTAAATGGAACATTTCTTTCACCAAATTCAGGAGTACCTGGACGGTATGGGATAGAAGCAATTTCTTCATAATCTTCAGGTAAGTTATCAACAACAACTTCAATTGGATCCAAGACAAACATTAATCTAGGAGTAGTATCTTCCAAGAACTTTCTTACTGCACTTTCGAATCTAACTACTTGAATATTGGTAGTACTTGTGGTAACACCTAAAGTGTTAATAAAGGATAAAATAGCACCTGGAGGAACACCACGTCTACGGATAGCTTCTAAAGTGAATAATCTTGGATCGTCCCAGCCTCTGACGTAATTACCTTCCACTAACTTAGCAATCTTTCTCTTTGATAGAACAGTACCAGTAATGTTCAAACGACCGTATTCTCTTTGAGCTGGTCTAAATACATGTACTTGGTCACATAACCATTCATAACTTTCTCTTGACAAATAGAATTCAGTAGTACATAAAGAATGAGTGATATTTTCGAAAGAATCAACCAAACAGTGAGTGAAGTCGTAAGTTGGATAAATCTTCCATTTAGAGCCAGTTCTTGGATGTGGAGCGTTTAATACTCTATATGCAATCAAATCCCACATCTGAGGACTTGGGGAAGTCAAATCTTGCTTCATTCTTAGAGTAGCCTCACCTGGTTGGTAAACACCATCTCTCATGTTTCTAAATTCTTTCAAACTTTCTTCGACTGGTCTATCACGATGTTTACATGCTGATCTTTCACCACCTGGAGTACCATCTTCCTTAATACCACGGCCACGCTTAATTTCTTCAGCGGTACAATGACAAATATAACCTCTGTCGTTTTGAATCAAAATCTCGGCCAACTCATATAATTTATCAAAATAATCACTTGAGTAAGTAATCTTCCATGGCTTAAAACCTAACCATGAGACCATTCTTTTAATGGATTCGAAATATTCTGGAGCTTCAGCTTCAGGATTAGTATCATCGAATCTTAAGTAACATACGCCATCCCAATATTTAGCATAACCAAAGTTAACCATGATTGCCTTAGAGTGACCAATATGCAAGTATCCGTTTGGCTCTGGAGGAAATCTAGTATGAACTTTACCACCAGTTACTTTCAGATGTTCGGCCATCAATTCTGGATAGGCTTGTGGATTTTCACCAACTTTATGTAAATCACCCAAGAAGCCTTCATTAAACATAGTTCTATGTGGTTGAGTAGCTTCTTCCTTAGATTTAGTAGACTTAGAGGCTTTAGATTCCTTCTTCTTGGAGTCACCACCTTTCTTCTTTTTAACCAAATCTCTCTCATCTTTTGGACCCAAAACTTTTAAGATTTCTTCATCAATAATTGGCTTAAAAGTACGTGGATCAGCCCATTTCAATTCTGTCAAATTTTTAATATTAGCAAAAATACCTGGAACTAATTTATAACGTTCAGTAATAATTGTTTCCTTGTTATCTTCAATATATTTAATAACACGATCCCTTACCTGTTGTTCGGTAATTTCAATACCCACACCAGAATTTTCATTCATAGCATCAACAGTAGCGTTCAAACCATGTTCTTTAATGTATTTGAAGGCAGCATCAACCTGCAAAGCAGTCTTTAAAGAACCTTTAGTAATACCTTCCACAATCATAGAAGAGTTTGGCAATTCTGCACCTTTGGACAGAGAAGCTAAATTGTGAACCAATGCCCTAGTAGACTTATCCCATTCACAACCAGCTGGAGCTTCCTTGATAAACCCAGCTAACGATTCAGAAACTTTTTTGTTCTTCACAATTTCTTTAACTTTAGCATCTTCAAAACCAATCTTACTGAATAATTCAGTTAATTCATCAACAGAAGACATTGCTAAAAAAAAATGTCAATGTATATATTATTAACTGCACTTAATCTTTGCTTGATTCTAATTAAATTATAATAATAACAACTTAACTTTAATGCTATTAATGACAGTTTCTTTTATGCTTTAGTTAACCATTTATTTATTGCTTAGTTAACATCATCGATCAAATTTCGAATGGGTTTAAAGCATCAATTTTTTTTGGAACTTTCGAGATATTTTTCGTCAAACAGAAGATCACGTGAGATACGTATATCGTGATAGATAACACGTGATTTATCACCAAAAAAAAAGAATTCAAAAAAGAGGAGTTTTAAGGTTTATATAAAGAGAGACAAATTTTGGGCGGCTAATTGATTCACAGAAGAAAGTATTTTAAACTAGACTGGAAGAATATATAAAAGAAGCTGTTTTCTCACCAGAAGAGGAAGTTGTGACAACTATTGTTGGTCATATCTTAGGGTTGACAGTTTGAAGAGAGAGAATAAGAAGAATAAAAAGGTATTGGGGATGGTAGCTGACGTCTCTAAATTGGCACAAAGTATATGTGGAGTTGATATTGATAATGAAAGATGTGGAATTAAACTGGAGATTGATTTTAACAGGTTGACCTTTGATTCTGCATTAGCTAAAGAGTACATGAAGCTTTTGGACGCAGTGGTAGCGGAAGATGTGGTTATTAATAATCTATTATTAGTGCAATTAATTATTCAATTGGGAAATATATGTTGCAATATGAAGTTAATTGATGATGAATATTGGTATGTGATATTTGACGTCAAATACTCGTCGAGTATGAAGGTTAGTGCTGATTGTTGTACTTTGAAATATCTGCTGAGTAATGGGTTGAATTTTTCTCCAGATGATAATAATAATTGGAAATTTTTAGAAGTTTTATTAAAAATAATGAATGGAGTACAGAGAACCAAGAGCATTATTACAAACTTGATTAAGAAGGAATTCCCATTTAAATTAGGTATTTTGCTAGATAATATTACTGATTTTCAACAGGCAAATTATATCATTGAAATACTTTCCTTTTGTTTTCCTAGAAAGTCTATTGATAAGCCTGGAGTTGTTTTGCCACCACAGCCTTGGGAAGATACCATTAAATGCGAGTTGTTTTTCAATAGAAATACTTACCCATTTAAAGGTAAGCATGGGGACCAACAGGTTTTGAAATTTGTTTGGGAATTATTTGCCAAACTATTGATAGATATCCAACATGTGTCAAATGTGAGCTATGGATTAGAATCTGATAACAGAAAAGCTCCTGCTAGATCTTTGGTTTCTTCTGAAAAAGGGAACAATTTTTTTATACAGTGTTATTCTGATAAGATGTATTTATGGATTGGCGAGGGACAGTTTCTTGAAATTAAAAGAAACAATATAGAGATAACAAATGATCTTAAAGGAAGATTGAAACTAAAAATAATAGATGGAAAATGTAAAAATACCATTAGATCACCAAATAAAACTTGGCTAAGTACAATCAAAAAGGTATCCTGGTTTATTATCGATTTCTCGACTCAGACTGCCGGCGTGCAATATTTCAAAAAAATAACCAATAAACCAAAAATAAGTGAAGTACAACAGTTTCTGACTTTAAGTCATATTGAAGAAGAAGAGGAAGAAAATATTTCTCAAGAGGGGCAACATGAAATTTCTAGCAGAGAAGCAACTGTACATCTAGGAAAACAAAATAATGTCAACAGTGAGTCTCTATCCGTTCTGCTTTCACAAAGTTTTTCGCCGCTGACACAAGTTTCTGGCCAGAAGACTCAATTCGAAAATAGTATGCTTGCGACTCCGGATAAATCAGATTTGAAGAGTGACAATGATATTTGGGATCTTAATATATCTTCAGATGGAAAAGAAAAAAAGAAAAAGGGAAATACATCTAAAATTACAACTTCAAAGTCAAAAATAAAACCCCCATCTATTCAAAATGTATTAGAAGAAGAAGAATCACCAATTGTTCAAGTACAGCAAAATAAGTTGAGAAGAACATTGTCAAAAGCTAAACAGGAATTGATAGAAGTTAGAGATGATTCACTTCATTCAAACCCAAATCAATTAGACGCTGCAGGAAACAATCTCAGAACGGATTCAATTTTAATAACCGGCAGTAATATTATAAAAGATAAACGTGATAAAAAAGTAAACAAAAAGTTGACACAACTTCTAATAAAATCAGGATCAGATAAAGATAAGAAAAGCAAGTACTTCCAAAAAAAGTCTGTTGGAAAGCAAGATTTAAAAGTTTTAGATACAATCTTTGCAAAACCAGTTTCGAAAAAATTAAGAAGTCAACAGAAATTAAAAAATATAATAAATGTTGGAAAAAAAACTGAAATAACTCTTATGTATAATAAATTAGATAATAAAGATACAAAGGAGGTTGAAAGATGCGATGACACTAATAAAAAAAATGATATCAGGACTCCGAATAAAATTGCAACAGAAAATGATACCAGTGGAAACATGAAAAGGAAATTTTACGAACAAGAATCAACCGAAGATACTATAGGAACTGCAGCTCCAATTAGCAAACGAGTTAGGAAACCTCAAGAAAATAGAGAAAAGTTGGAGCCGCTGCAACAAAAAGCCAAAAGAAGCTTGAGCAATAAAATAAATAAATCTATTGAACCTATTCCATCAGGTCAAGAACAATCCTTGGATGAAAAAGATAAATCAGAAAAGGTTGGTCATCAGAATAACCAGGAAAAATCCATTCGTGTTGACATTTCTGATTCTACAACTATTGTGGCGCCTGTATCAATGCAAAATAGTGCGTCATTTGGCATAGATAATCTATTCACAATTAAATTACAGGAACAAATAACTCAGTCAATTTCAAAATTTTCTGAAGAGTTACGCAACAAGATAATAATAATAAATTCTGAATTGAATAATAAAATCATGAAAGAATTATCCGAAAAGTATCAAAAAGTATTTCATGACTTACAGGTTAGTTTCAAAAACGATACCGAAGAAATGTTTGAATTCGTTGGTGAAATTAAAAATATGCTAAATCTCCCAGAAGAAGAACTAGTTCAAGTTATAAGGAACAGAAAATTTGGCTCAAATTAAATATTACATTAAAACATTCCTAACTTATTTATTGATTCATCCTACTTCTCATCGATTAAAATTTTCAGGCACTAATTTCTTGACATTTTTAGGAGAATGGATCCTTGTTCAATTTGTCATAAATATATTAGCTATCTCTACTATCTCCTAACGTCAGAAAATGAAACACTCCGCAATACAATATATGTTACAAAATCATTCCTACTATTATAGCAGATTTACTGACAGAAAAATGATGTAAGCTGACCAAAAATTCAAACCTGGCATTTTGAGGTTAGACAATAGTGAAATTCCTAACCTGACATTGTAAATAAGGGAACAGGAATTGCATCAAACAAATACCCATTTGAATAATGACTTTGAACTTACCCTACTACCACTTCCCAATCAATGCACTAAAATTCACAGTAGATAAATTTTGGTCTCATCGATCTGCAACCTTAGATTTTCACTCATCAACTATTTTCTTACGAAGTTACTTACTCTCACTCCTTTAGCTTTTCTGTAATCTCATCTCATCTCATCTCATCGAGTCTTTTCCGTTCAAAGAATAGTTGAAAAATTTTTCACTTCGCCAAATGAAATTCAGAATAATAGCTGCACAACAAATTGTTTTATCGAAGGTTCGCTTCCACTCTCATCATATCCGTCACTCATAGTTTTCGTTCTCATTATAGCATTTCGTCAATTTTTCGTTGAAACTTTTTCATTGTTGTAAATTATTGGTTACTTTTGGAATTGTATATAAAAAGCTTATATGTTAAAATAGCTTTTCTGAAGGTTACTTTTTGCAATTCAAGAGGGTATCGCAAAAATGGATTCCAAGACTCCAGTTACTTTAGCTAAGGTTATCAAAGTTTTAGGCCGTACCGGTTCTCGTGGTGGTGTCACTCAAGTTCGTGTTGAATTTTTGGATGACACTACTAGAACTATTGTCAGAAACGTCAAAGGTCCAGTCAGAGAAAATGACATCTTGGTTCTAATGGAATCTGAACGTGAAGCTCGTCGTTTGCGTTAAGAAGCTATATATATTTTAAGTCTACCGTCTTTATATATATATTGTTTCATTATACTCTTTCTGCTTCAAAAGAAATATTTTTTTTAATTAAAGAGACTAAACCATGTATTAGAAATACATATTTCAAGGATAATGTTGAGAATTTAAAAGGTGAATTAAAACCATCAATTGCTATGGGTCTACATTTGTAAGAAGTTATAATTACATTGTCCATATGATACCATAAGAGAAGTAGTTGATAGACGTCAATTATCATTTACTAGATTTTTTTCTACTGTATGTGTTTATTTCTCTATTATGATAGAGGATCATTGTAATATACTTTTTTTGAAATGGCAAACTGTGGATTGATTAAATTAATCAAGCAATTGAATGCTGTACCACCTTCGAAAGCCTCTTCATGTATATACTTTATATATCTATATTTTAATATTATAATCAGTTCTTTATTTAAATTGGGTTTGTAGCGCTATGGATGGTCGTTGGTAAGTGACTACTAGCAAGTTCACTTATGTATGATATGTACGGGTTTGAGATTGTGCACGTTATTACGTACACCATGAGAGATCGAAGTTTTACAAATGTTACCCGGATGTTAAAACGATGTAAATTTAAGGTAATATATAAATCTCAATATAAATTTAAGGTAATATATAAATCTCAATATAAATTATTCAATAACTGAATAATGAGCAATCATTAACATCAGAGGAAGACCAGATAAGTGAGCTACAGATCGCCAATATACAGTTATACAGTTTTATGGGATTACCCTCGATCCATGCTAATAACAGAACAAATTTAACTCGTTCCAACTTACCTAAGAAAACTATCGATGATTTTAGCAAAGGCAAATATTTGGTAAATGAAATTAATATAGTAGATCAACACCCTCAAAGTATGGATTTAGAAGGTGATATTCCAATGCATGATATTTCTAATGAACAGGAAATTGAGCTGGTATCCAGGTATCTAGCGTCACAGAGAAATAATCACCAAAATTTTCAACCTGAAATCAGCGATGCATACTTGGACAATATAGTTTCAAATATACCAACTACAACGAAGACCATATTTGTAACAGACACTAATTTTATTATATCTCATTTGAGTACATTAGAGAGACTGCGACAGCTTGCTCCTAATTTACACCATCAAATCATCATTCCAAATACTGTAATAAAAGAATTAGATGGCTTGAAAAATTCTGATAGAGAAGCATCTTGGTCTTCAAATGGTGAAAATTATGTTCATTCTATTGGAATGTTAGCAAGATGGGCGAATGATTGGATTTATAAAAATTTAGCTAATCAAGATTCTGGTGTCATGGGACAGAAATTGAAACAAAGAATTGATCCTACTTGCACTAAAGATGACGCAATCTTAGATTGCTGCCTTTTCTTTAAAGATGAACAAAACTGTTTTGTAATTTTATTATCTAATGATAAAAACCTGTGTTTAAAGGCATTAACTGAAGAGATACCAACTGTATCTTATAGACAGGATATGACTGCAGAACTAATAGCATCAAAAGCGTATGAAGAGAATCTTTTAAGGTTTGGACAACAGCACATCTACGATCAAGGATCTTCAACATCTGCACAAGGACATGATTTAATGGATATTAACATGGGCCATGATATAGATGAAAATGAAAGTGTATCCCCGTTAGATATTCAAGAGGTTTCAACTTTCATCTATGAAGAGGTCAGAAAGTTGATGAGATCATCAATAGATTATGTAATGAATGAAGTATATGGAGAGGATATAGAACTGATAGACTATAGCTTCGATCGTATCAACTCTCTACGAGATTCTTCAAAATGTTTGTACAAATTTTGGTTATCTGTATTTCTTGATTACTTTAAATCTTCCAAATTAAGGAAGGATAGTTGGAAAGATCTTCCTGATTGTCTATTAGAAGCACCAATCAATAAAAAAGATTTAACCATTTTTTTCCAATTTTGGCAAGAAATAATTAGGCATTTATGCTCTAAAAGAGACATCAATACAAAGAATTGGTTAGATTCAGAACTAAAAAATTGGAAGGGCCTAATAAAAAGGGCACAATAATAGCATGTAAAATAGTATAATACTTTTAAAAACTATCATAATTAACTTGCATTTTTATATAATGATCATTATATTACTTTTTTAATCAAAACGTATATTATTTTTAAAAAACGTTCCATAACATCAAGTTTGTAAACTAAATATATCGTCATAACTTAGCAATGCCATATATAAATATAGTACGAACAACTGTCATGTATATGAATTGTACTATGATTTTTCATTTTCAACTACTTTCTCAGAGTCACTATTGGACTTTTCAGATTGTATCTTAGGGGTTTTTTCATGCTCCTCTAAAACAAAGTCTCTTAATTTTGTTTTGATTGTGCCTATGGTTTCACCCGCTGCAGTTTGCGCTACACTTTTCACTGGTCCCCATAAATCAAATTTATTGATAAAGTAGAAAGACACTAAAATAAGAATGGTCAAAGTGACAAATAATGGATTGCGGATGACCATCATGAATTCATTCCAACCTAAAACGACAATAATTGCGTATATCCATAGTGGAATATGAGTAGTTGTTTTGATCATCGATCTCTTGGCATCCAATACAGTCACATTAATTTGTCTACGTACTTGAATTTGAATCTTCTCTTTTTGTACCTCATTCAAAATATGGGAAAATTTAGCTGAGTGATAAATACCCAAGTCATCTTCATACATTTCATCACTATCATGGAAATTTATATCAGGAACAACCTCAACATTATCAGAAGTCTTAATTAATGCCAAAACATCAAAAATTTTAAATGCATACTCCTTTGCGACTCTAAATGCAAGATCGACTTCTTCTTCATTTTTCCATAGTATTGGAGAATCTTCATCATCATATCTAAACTTTAGTTCAAATCTATCTCTTAGTATATTACAGATTGTGTCCTCTTTTAGGTAATCATGGATAGTGTCATTTAGTGATTTCCAAGCTGCTACACGAATAGATTTGTAAGTGGAATTATTTTCCTCATCTTCTCCACCAAATTGAAAATCATATGTGTCATCATCGAGTTTATATTTAATTAAAGTTGACGAAAAAATCGAATGGAATTTGTCCATTATTCTATCCCAAACGTCTACATCTGGGTTTGATAGTAATTGTGGAACAACATCTTTAATTCTTGCATTTATAATTTTACTTGAACGTGTGATCAACTTCTGTAATGCAGTGACACGTAATTTGTCTGAAGTTTCCTTCAAATCATTTTCAAATCTTTTGACGACTTCTTCTTTAACTTCCTCGCTTAATATTTTGGCAGCGGCAAATTCTTCAATTATATCTTCAAATTTGGACTTGGCAACCTCTGTAGAGTTGGAAAGTCTTTTTGAAAAAATTGGTTCTTTTGAAGATTCACTATTAACATCTTCAACTAATTGTAAAAATATATCTTGTGAAACTGAATCAATAAATAGTGTAATTGTCTCCAAAAATTTCAAGTAAATTTTTGCCTCCAATTCATCCCTTTTTTCTAAGTAAACAGCACTGACATATTTTGATGCATGTTGATCATACATATCTAAACATTCTGTTTTCAAAACAGATAATTCTTGTATCAATTTCAACTTATCCTTTATGACAGGATCAACATTGGAATCGTATTTAGATTTCAAAACTTCTAGAGAGTCATTTAAAATCTCCTCAGTTTTAAATCTTGCAACTAATATCTGTTGAGTCGGCAAATCTAAATCTCTATTTTCTTCGATTAATTCCCAACAGTTTTTAGCATACAAAGTCCACCCATCTAGTGGTAGATTATGATGGTATTCTGGTTTGAAATAATAATCTTCATTGTCCTTCATAATGAAATGGTCACCAAGAGATTTCACATCTTGTACAAATCTTTCTTCTTGTAGTAATTTATGTGATAAACCTACAAATTGCAATTCGAAAAAGTCAGATAACTTTTTATTCTCACATTCAGCAGGCTTACTTAAAGTTTCCCAAAGATTTATCAACTCAGTAGTTATGGTGTCGCGTAAACTTGAGATTGGAGTTACACCCACATGATCCCTAATAACAAATAATAATAAAACTTTATGACCATTTTTATTTTTACCAAATAATGATAAATTAACTTCAAAGACAGTCTTCAATAAGGCCATATTATTACCTTGATAAAGACCAATTTGTTGTTCCCACATGTTCACAATAAGGACTTCAGATACAGAAATAGCAAATAATGCAGCCTTTCTTTCAAAATCTTGATCTTCACCTCTCTCTAAACCATCGGAACCTTCAACATCCAATATGAATAAATCTGATTTATCCTCAGGGTTAACATCAACATTACTCAATAATTCATTAGAATGTGCGACCCAAATACCTTTAGTAGTTTGCTGTCTCTTAATTTGAGCATCCATAGTATCAAATGAAGTATTGAATAAAATATTCAAAAGAGTAGATTTACCACTAGATTGAGAACCAAAAACTGAAATGACATGATAATTCACACCAACATCACGTCCACCAATACAAGTCTTAAAATAAGCCAATGCATCGTCACTAAAATGTTTCTCTTCAGTGATCAACTGAATTGCTTCTTCCTTGGAATCCATATCTGTCCTGACTCAATTACAAAATAGGGAAAATAATTAACAGACTATTATTTAGTATCAACAGATAAAACCAAACCTTACCGATTCAATATAGTCTCTTCTCTTCAAGTATATTACTATCAGTTTGAAGTCGTTTAGGATAGAGTTAAATCCTTGCTGTCCTGATATCTCTGATTCTCAACCAAAAATTAACCGATTTGAAACCTTAAAACTTAAACAGAACTATCCAGTATATTTAAAACACACCAAACAAACCAAAAGTAATGAAGTTGAATCCTTCCTCTTCTTATTCCAAGTTTTATTGTCGTTCTAAATCTTTGTTCCTTGTACAATTTAAATCATTCGAAACTTTAAAATGTTTTATATATAAAATAAACGAAATTTGAAATATAAAGATATGGATCTCTAAAGATGATGAGATTAAAGGAAAGAGGTGTAATAAACAGCGAGAATTGCTATTACTGGGTAGAATTGATCATCGGGATTGAATTGGTAGTCTATAGAAGTTGTATTTTGTGTTTGGTTTGTTATTTCAAGTGAAGCATTGAGGAAGTTTAGATTACAAGAAGGAAATAATATTTTAAATATGTCAAACGGTAATACTAGTAATGCTAAATTGGCAAAGACTTTGCAAAGATTTGAATCCAGAATTGCTGCTGGTGATTATTATGAAGCTCATCAAACTTTGAGAACCATTGCCAATAGATATGTGAGGAGTAAGTCTTATCCAGATGCTATTGATTTGATTAGTCAAGGTTCCTTGTCCTTTTTGAAAGTCAAACAAGGTGGTTCAGGGACAGATTTGATTTTTTATTTGTTAGAGGTGTATGATATTGCTGAAGTTCAAGTAGATGATGTTTCAGTCTCTAGATTGGTGCAGTTGCTTGTGAATGTGGATGTCAACGAACCTAATTTAAAGGATGTGATAGTTGCAATGAACAACTGGTCTGTAAAATTTAGTGATTATAAATTTGGTGATCCCTATTTGCATAATGTTATAGGTAGCAAGTTGCTAGAGAGAGGTGAATATGTATATGAAGCTGAGAGATATCTTTTATTAGGAACTGAAGATTCTGTTGATAAATATATCGAATTGATCTGGAATTGGTTCAATCAGGATGGCGATTTACAAGAAGTTGGTTCTTTCTTCAGTAGGTTGATATTAAACTACTTATTTATATCTAACATTGCATTTGCTTATAAGGCTAAAGATGTGTTTTTGCAATCTTTTGTTGATAAATACCAACCAAAGGTACAGAATATCGAAAAAAATGGATTTAAAATGTTTCAATTCGAAGAATATCCTGAACTAAACTTTTTACAATTGTTGTTATTAACCTGTCAAACAAAAAATAAGGATTTGTTCATTAATTTGAAAACCTATTACCAAGAACCTGCTAAGAAATTTAACAAAGAAATGGAATTTTTAGGTCAAGAATATTTTGGCATCATTGCTCCAAGACAGGCCAACTTTCTACAAGATATGATGTCAGGTCTATTGGGTGGTGGTCTATAATACTAAGAATCCAATTTTAAAATCAGCCATCCATTCTATTTAGAAGATTATTTTTACGATAGTTTTATAGAGTTTACCATATACACAGATATATATATATATATACATATACCTTTAAAGCATGTCGTTTTCAGAAAGAAAGATATACAATCAGATCAATTTCTCACTATGCTAGATCGATCCAAAGCTTCTAGGAGTTCAGGTCTTTTAGCAATGAGTAAGTTCTCCTTTGCTTCTCCATAATTGAACAACTTTCTCTTTCTTTTACCACACTCAGGGTATTCTTCAATTAACTCCCTTATTTCAAGTTCATAGAAATGGAACTCAGATCTTGGAGGATGGCTAGCCACTTCCATATCAGATTTGGCATTTTCAAATGCCTTAATGTCTTTGTTCCATTCTTTTGGTGGTCTCATATCTTCAATTGTACCTAATTCTTTGGTTATCTTCCCTACGCAACCAGCTTCTTCCCATGTCTCACGTTCTGCAGTTATCTTATAATCAGGTTCATCTTTCTCAACACCACCTTTAGGGAATATCCACTTCTTCTTATGAGCTGAAGAGGTTATCATTAGTACTTGCTTCTTATCCTGTGTTAAGCAGATGCATCCAGCAACTAACCTGGCTCCAGTTATTGGTGAATAGACCTGGTTTTCTCTCCCCACTCTAGCAGCAGCAGATCTTATGACAGTTGAACTCATCTCTGGAGAGTATAGAGACTCTTGAGTAATCTTGAGTAATCTTGAGTCTCTTCCAGGTTTACCAAATGGAGGTTTAATTAACATCAACTTTTTCTTGACTGGTAAAATCATTGTTTAAATAGCTCTTGCGCCTTATACAAAAGACACTAAGTTATATAAAGTGTTAAAACACCAAAGTTAATATCCAATAAGAAACATCTTCTTGAAGGTTGAACAAATCGATAATAATTTATGAGTAATTAGTCAAAGAGTTTCAAAACTTTGCTTTATACAACAAAATCTGAATAAGTCCCTTACAATTGTAGCAATGACAGTGCAAAGAAAAGTGGTAAGAACAGTGGAAACAGTGATATTTCTACCATCTTGGTAACGTTGGTAATTGGTATTTGTCAACAGAATGTTGAATATTTGATCTTCTTAATCTTGGTCTAGTTAACTATCGATTTCTTCCATCTACAAGAATAATCAGAATCTGGGACAAGGAGAATTGTAAATGAGTGATTGTAGATTACCAATCTCATTAACCTGTATCTGTTTCTTCAGAAGGTTGTAACTTATTTCATATATTTGAATTATGATTAAATATTGTTCTATTATAGGGCAAGTTGATTTTGTTCATATTTTTCTGACCACTTTGGCCTGTTTTGGTAAGCTAGATGACGAAACGACAGTAAATGGTCTAATAAAATATTAGACAGGCTAACCGAAAAAGTTTATTATCATGTCTTGAGTACATAGACGTTGGTTGGTTGATCATTTAGTTAATCAGATTAATTGAGTATATAACTTTCAATAATCCAATCATGCTATGTTTAGATGCAGATGCATTTTTTTAAATTAACAAGTTATGTCTTATCTCATCTCAAGGATATCTTTTATTTAAATATTATGTTTTATATTGGATGTAAATAAACTCTAATAAATCCGAACCAATTATTGTAATAATCTAAGTCTGTTACCAGTGACACTTTCATATATTTACTTTCTGTCTTTCGTTCAGATGTCACATTCTTGATTCCACGACATGTCGTCTTACACTTTGATGTCGTCTGTATTTATGTTACCTGTGATTGGTTTGGATAGTTTTCTCGTTAGTATATTAGTCTTAGATGGAAATACTAGTTAATAATAATTTAGTTTTTATACTCAACCAAACAACAGCGATTCGATCTGCTCATCCCCTCCAATCCATTGTAAACTCTGGAAAATTATTCATTATAAATATTTAAATATGGAGTGTCTCTTCTAAAGATATGTCGAGGACTTGATTGCTAGATTGTAATACTGATGTATTGCGAGATAAAAGTAACTGGCGCCAGGTAATATACAAATGACAAGATCTATACTAGTACCTAGCTGAGAAAAGACATTAACAATTACATCAATGACTGTTTCAGAGTAGTAACCATTTATATTGGGATTCAACATACAGTTTATATAGTTCTAGAAGTAAAGGAACAGGTTAGTGGGATTGGTAATCTATAATCACTCATTTACAATTCTCCTTGTCCCAGATTCTGATTATTCTTGTAGATGGAAGAAATCGATAGTTAACTAGACCAAGATTAAGAAGATCAAATATTCAACATTCTGTTGACAAATACCAATTACCAACGTTACCAAGATGGTAGAAATATCACTGTTTCCACTGTTCTTACCACTTTTCATTATTTTATTCGAATTCATAATTTTGAACTTTATAATATAATACTGGCCAGGTTTGACCAAGTTACGCCTTCTTTCCCTTCACAGCAATTGACTGTAACGTGACTTCATGGGTGTCTGTTCCTCACAGGTGCAAATGACTCAAATTAAAATAATAACCAACTAGGTTCAGGCTAACGTGTCGATACGTTAAAATAATTATTATGATATCATATTATGTGCTTTCCCATATTTTTATAACAACTTTGAGTTGAAATTGGATGGTGTCAAGAGAGTATTTTGATTTAGTCGAAACTTTTCTTGAAAAGTCAAAACAAATGCTTCCTACCAAAAGGTGATTCTGCCTATTTATTAAACTCAAAGATTCTATTATAAGTAATATTTTCATTCAATTTGTCATTTACTATATCAGTATAAATTATTCAGCGTTTATAAAAAGTTTTAAGTCATGGCGTAATTAAGATCAATCAAAGTTTCTCCAAATAATGTACTTCAGAATCCAAGTTTCTTAACCTCTCAGCTGCTTGTTCAGCAGTCAAATCCCTTTGTGGTTCACCTAACATTTCAAAACCAACTAAGAATTTCCTTACGGTGGCTGATCTCAATAATGGTGGATAGAAATGCATATGGAACCAACTCATTTCCTTTTCCTCGTTGGTAGGATTAAAAGGTTGCTGATGAATACCCATAGAATAAGGGAAACTGGTTTGGAACAAGTTATCGTATTTGGTAGTCAATTGTTTTATAATTGTTGCTAAATCTTTATTTTGCTTTTCGTTGAAGTCCACAATTGCAGGGATTCTTTCCTTTGAAACAATAATCGTTTCGAATGGCCATACTGCCCAATATGGAACTGTAACAATAAAAGTATCATTTTCCAATACTACTCTTACTTTTTCTTTCAATTCTAATTGAACGTAATCACTCAATAAATGACAGCCGTTATCTTTTTGATATTTTCCAAAAGATTTAAATTCTTGTGAAACTTCACTTGGTACTACATCTAAACACCAAGCTTGACCATGAGGATGCAAATTAGAACAACCCATAGCAGTACCTTTGTTTTCGAAAATTTGTAAAAATTTATAAGGGTTGCCTTCTTTTCTTTCTTGATCTAATGTATTGTACAAAGATTGCCAAGCATTGACCACCCCAACTAATTCATCAACTTTCATTTGTGGGATAGTCAAATTATGTTTTGGACTAAAACAGATAACAAAACAATTACCTTTAACCGATTGAACTTTAAATAATCTTTTTTTGATTTCATCAGTTTCATCAGTTTCATCTATGTCAGGTTGTTCTAATTTAACAGCGGGATAATCATTTTGAAAAATATAAGTACTTTCATAAGCTGGAGTACTATTACCAGTGGCTCTTTTATTTCCAGGACATAAATAACAATTTACATCATATTCTGGAATATTTGGTTTACCTACAGTTTCTTGTTGACCTAACCAAGGTCTTTTAGCTCTATGTGGAGAAACCAATACCCATGAATCAGTCAATGGGTTGTAACGTCTATGAGAATTGTCAGTGTAATCAAATTTAGCAGTAGTCATTATTTTTAAAAATTTTCAATCAGTAATAATATTATATATCTTATCCTTTAAAGTTCTTATTGCGTAAAAGATATATCTTAGGTATGGAAATTTATCAATTTATCAATCTATCTATATATACCTATATCTGTATATGCCTGTTCATATAGATACAGACCAATAATGGAATTGATGATGTTAGTCAACTACAAACTATAATAGTACCACATTTTTATATCATCATCTTTATAATTATAAGTTTCGATGATCTAATCAGTTCTTAAGTGCCAAATCAGTTTTAATATGACTACTTATTACCTTTCGGTAAACTATGATCCGTATCTGCTAGACTTCCGGGACACATCGAACCGTCTCCCACCATCCCAGCGGATCGAAGGTTTCCGAAACATGGGGTTGCTTCAGATGGAATGGATCAGTACAATGGAACTAAATCAACAGTTTCCATTCTATGTGTATATGAAAGAATACCTGCAAAATCTAGATGTGTTGGTCACATATACCTAAACATATATGGATATGGGATTTCACTCATTTGTGCCATCTTTAGAAATACATTCTGTTTTCAATAGAACAAGAGACAGAGACAGAGGATGGGAGAGAGGACTGCTGATAGTTGACAACAACTCAACGATCCCATCTACTGTTTCTATTTCTTCATACAAGCTTTCAACTAACAATGCAACTAAAACAAGCAGAGGTTTTGGTCCTCACTTGAATTGAATTAGGAAATTATCTCCCAACTGAAAGTAAAAATATGAAGATGATTTATAACACACATTTTAACAAAGACACTCTCCAGACTTGGTGCTAGAAGTATCTACCGGTTGTCTTCTTGCCGTCATAAAAACCAACAGCAGATATAGTTAGCTGGTTTGGTTGTTCCACCATTATGTATATATATGTAAGCATCGTTTATCACAGACACAGTCTGCCTTCGGTCTGCCGTTATCCGAGATCTCTTGTGGCAGCCAGATCTGGGGAAACTAAAGCCAGTTCGAAACTGCAAGAGTAAGAGTGTATGTTTGTATACAGTGTAAGAGATAGATAGATATTGTTGATGCTCAAAAAGATTAGATACATGATGAAGTAAAGATTCCACAAGTGGCCTTTGTTATGCTAAGGCTACTTTCAATTGATTAACCATGTCTTTTCTGTTTGTTTTCTTGGGGGTGGAGGTCTGTCGTCCATTTTTAGTTTAATCTACTCATCGACTGACATCAGACATTCTTGTACGTTGAAGTTTATTGTTAATACTACCATCTATCTATTTGAAGTTGTGGGGAAGTTAGTCTCAATCAATAACTAAGGGATTTCGATAACAATCCTTTCAAGATAAAATTTATATAAATATCAGACATATCTGATTCTTCAAAATCCAATCTTGCGTAAGTTCGATTATGTTTATATTTAGATATATGTTATTATTATAACATCTGACTCTATAATATCATAGCATTATTGCTACTACAAGATCCATCAGATTGATTAAGTTGTGCAATTTTACACTAAAATAATTAAAATAATAATATGTCTGTCCCTTTCTTTAATAAATCATCAGAGGAAATACCTCTTGTTTTAACCAAGAGAACTCCTACTGTCATCGAACAATTCACTGAGACTTATGGTGTTGCTCCAGATTTCATAACTAGATCACCTGGTAGAGTTAACTTAATTGGTGAACATATTGATTACTGTGACTTCTCGGTTTTACCAATGGCCATCGATGTCGATATGGTTTTGGGTATCAGAGTCTTAGATGAATCTGAAAATTCAATTACTATTTCAAATTCTGACAAGAGATTTGTCCAAAGAAAGTTCGATTTACCATTAGATGGTTCTTTTGTTAACATCGATCCTTCTGTTTCAGATTGGTCAAACTATTTTAAATGTGGGTTACATGTTGCTCATGAATTCTTAAAAAGTTTAAGTCCAGAAAAATTTAGTAACAGACCTTTAGTAGGTATGGAAATATTCTGTGACGGTAATGTCCCAACTGGTGGTGGTTTATCTTCTTCTGCTGCTTTCATTTGTGCTACCGCTTTAGCTATAATTAGAGCCAATATGGGACCAAAATATGTCGTTTCAAAACAAGACTTAATGAGAATTACTGTTGTTGCTGAACATTACGTTGGTGTCAACAACGGTGGTATGGATCAAGCTGCCTCTGTTTGTGGCGAAGAGGACCATGTCTTATACGTTGAATTCAAGCCTCAATTGAAAGCCACTCCATTCAAATTCCCACAATTAAAATCTAAACAAATTCAATTTGTTATTGCTAACTCACTAGTTGTCTCAAATAAACACGAAACTGCTCCAACAAACTATAATTTAAGAGTAGTTGAAGTCACAATTGCTGCAAACTTGTTGGCTACCAAATATGGAGTTTCTATCCAAAAGAGAAACGACGGCAATAGCTCAAGTTATGGCACTTTAAGAGATTTTATGAATGCTTACTATGCTCGTTATCACGGTGTCACTGTTCCATGGGATGGTGATATCAACACTGGTATTGAGCGTTTAGAAAAAATGGTCGAATTAGTTGAACAATGCCTTGGTTCAAACAAAGAAGGGTTTACAGTCGATGAAATTGCTGCTGCATTGAACATTTCAAGAGAAGCATTCACCAATAATTATTTGACTATCTTCCCTGTCAGGTTCCAAGTCTTAAAATTATACCAAAGAGCTAGACATGTTTACACTGAAGCTTTAAGAGTTTTGAAGAGTATTAGACTATTGACCTCTACTGAATTTAACAGCGATGATGATTTCTTCACTTCGTTTGGTAACTTAATGAATCAATCACAAGAATCATGTGACAAATTTTACGAATGTTCATGCCAACAATTGAATGAAATTTGTGAAATTGCATTAGCTAATGGTTCCTTTGGTTCACGTTTGACTGGTGCAGGTTGGGGTGGCTGTTCTGTCCATTTAGTTCCAGCTGGTGCTGAAGCTGAAAAAGTTAAGAAAGCCTTAATTGATAACTATTACAAAGTTAAATTCCCAAATATCTCTGAAAGTGAAATTGACAATGCAATCATTATCTCCAAACCTACAATTGGAAGTTGTGTTTACGAATTGTAAATGAACTAATTTAAATGCAATTAAATTTTACATAAGTTGGTTCCCACTAGGACAAGCAGTTTAAATCCCATAATTCTTATAATGCCTCGATTTTCTAATGATAAATAAATCACGAAGTTTAACCTTAAGTTTAACCTCTAATTAATGATTATGAATTTTATAATAAATAAAAAATACAATACTGATATTATAACCATTCTTCTTCCAAGTACTGATAGAGTGTAAGTGATGTATGGTAAAAGGGAAAAAGATGACAACGTCAGCAAGAATGGAATAATTTACGATAGGAAAACAATATGGAAATAAAGACTCAAGCAGGCAAAAAAAGTAACTAAATTGTAACAATACTTCCTACGTTGCCAAATTCGAAGTAATAAATATTTTTAATTTCAAGGCTTTACTCTTACTTGTTTGAAAAATAAGGGAATAAGTCTTCGATTAAACCTATCCTTCTTCAATTTGAATCGGCTCAACAGTCTATCCCTAATATATCAAACTACATCCACTTAATCTCAGAAATCAATGATAGCATATAGAAAAATATCATCGACATAAATATCCTTCAACTTGTAATCCTAACCAAAACATCTTTAAACAGTTTTTCTTTATGCCAAAATACTAAAAACCTTAAAAAAAATCCATCACCAAGCTTTAATTTACTACAGGGGCTCTTTTTCCAATAAGGGGCAGTTTTCGAAATTGGTAAACGTAATAAGCTTAAGGTAATGATGATAGAAATAGGATAAAGGAAGAGTCTGCAGTAACCTCTTCATCTATGTAGGGTTGGATATATTTAGACACGGTTGTTACAGTTGTTGTTGTTGTGGTTGGTTCTGAAGATAAATTAGTAGGTAGCTCAAATTCTCTAAATTAAACGGTAAATTGAGTTACTGATTAATTTTTCGAAGCTAATAGTAGTCATTGTAGTAGTCTTAATCTGGTCTTGCTCTGCAGGATGGTTGCTTTTAGAATGCAAGTATGGCGAGCTAGTTAGAGAGAGAACTAACCAGACTAACTTGGATATTTTATTTACATGAAAAAAAAGTAGTGAAATTCTGTAGCTTGATTCTGGGTTATATTTAAATTTGTTCATCTACAACGTCAAATTAATCATTGTTTTACTTAAAAATGACCCTTAAGGGAGTAACTGGTTAGAGGAAGGTTTCTGATACTTGATAATATCACTACGATGCTTGCAGAAGTAAGATATACTATCATAGGATACATTGTGTTTACTATTGTGTTTCCTGATTAATTATCTCTATCTTTATTATTATTTCTTCGCTAAATCTCCTATAAGTCCAATTTGGTTTCCTGTCACCTAGCTACTGCATATGTTGTATTGTAAAATTATTTAATTAATTTCCTTCACCTCAATTTAAATATAGAGCTAATTCCATTATCTGCTTACCAGATAATTAATATAAAACATTACTGTAATTCTTATCAATTATATCATTCTCACTTCTTGTCAACTCGATAGCATTGTAAGACAATGCCTGTTGAATTGAGTAACAGCAAGTGCAATTGAATTGAAATACACATAATGGCTGACAATATTTCAGAAATAAATGAAAAGTTAGGAGATTTAAACAATTCAAGAGCTAATAATAATGGTGCAACTAATGATGAAAGCGAGGAAACTCTAGAACCTGAACATATTTTAGAGAATTTTGATAATACAGGACGTTCTTTTGCCAAAGATTCGAGACCTTCATCAATTTCAGAACATGAAAGTACAGAATCATTGACTAACAGCCGACTGGTTAATAGAATTACTTCTTTGGCAAGAACCTTTTCTCATGTAGAGACCTCCAGCAGTGAAGCTGACTTTGAAACAATTAAAGACCCTAGAAAGATAATAGAAAAATTTGTGAGAGATGCTTTTGAACAAGGTATTCATATCAGAAACACTAGTATAATAATGGAAGATATTACCGTTCAAGTTCCCGATACATCAAGACAAGAAGCCAGTACATTTGGCGATTTCATTTTATTGCCAATTACAATTTACAAGATGATTAAAAAATTCACACAACATAAGAAGATGAAATCAATTTTAAGTGAAGTAAACTTCTTGGTAAAACCAGGAAATATGGTTTTGGTTTTAGGAAGACCTGGATCAGGCTGTTCAACTTTGTTGAAAACTGCAGTAGGCGAAACTAGTTCATATAAAGGTAACGTATCAGGATCTGTTACATATGATGGTATTCCTCAAAAAGAAATGGTTAAAAATTATAAATCAGACTTAATATACTGTGCTGAAACTGACATTCATTTCCCACATTTAACTGTTAAACAAACTTTAGATTTTGCCCTGGCTTGCAAAGTTCAAAACGTTAGAATAAATAATATGTCAGCAAAGAAACAAATTGGCATTGCAAGAGATTTATTGGCAACTATATTTGGTTTACGTCACACTTACTCTACAAAAGTTGGCAATGATTTTGTTAGAGGTGTTTCCGGAGGTGAAAGAAAGCGTGTTTCTATTGCTGAAGCATTGGCTGCCAGAGGTACCATTTATGCTTGGGATAATGCTACAAGAGGATTAGATGCGTCTACAGCACTGGAATTTGCCCAGGCTCTTCGAACATTTACAGAATTATTAAAATCAACCTCTTTCTGTTGTTTGTACCAAGTCAGTGAGAATATATTCCACACATTTGATATGGTGACAGTGCTTTATTCAGGAAAACAAATCTATTATGGCCCTGTCGCTAAGGCTAAGGACTTCTTTGAACGAATGGGATACAAATGTCCACCAAGACAAGACACAGCAGAGTTTTTAACTGCATTAACAGATCCTAATGGGCTCCATCTCATTAAAGAAGGTTTTGAAGGAACTGTACCAAGGAGCGCTGACGAGTTTGAGTCGTATTGGAAGAGTTCACCTGAGTTTAAACAGTTGTTGTCAGATATCGAAACTTATAAGACAGAAGTAGACCCAGAGAAGACGAGAGAAATCTACACAATGTCCTTAAAGCAGGAAAAGACAAAATGGACAAGAAAGAGTTCTTATTATACTGTATCATTTCCAGAACAAGTTAAATTATGTACTATTAGAGGATTTCAAAGAATATATGGTGACAAGAGTTTTTCCATCATTAGCACTGTAGCTGCTGTTTTTCAATCATTCATTATTGGATCTCTATTTTATAACACACCGTCATCGACATCTGGTGCGTTTTCTAGAGGTGGTACCCATTTCTTTATGCTATTATACTATTCCTTGATCAGTTTAGCCAATATTTCATTTGCACAGAGACCAATTATTAATAAGCATAAAAGCTATTCTTTTTACCATCCAGCTGCGGAAGCACTCTCAGAGAATCTTTCATTCTTTCCATTCAGAATGATAGGTTTAACTATGTTTATGGTGGTAATATATTTCTTGGCAGGATTGAGAAGAACGGCTAGTGCATTCTTCATAACTTATTTATTTCTTACTATGGCTGCGGAAATTATCAATTGTCTATTTCAGATGATTGCAGCTGCTTGTGAAACTATAAATGAAGCCAACTCTATAAATGGGATATTAATGCTGTCATTGTCAATGTACTCGACGTATATGATCCAATTACCAGAAATGCGTGTATATTTTAAATGGATATCATTTGCATTACCATTAAGGTATGGGTTTGAGTCAATGTTAAACGCTGAATTTCACAATAGATATATGAGCTGTGGTGGCACACTAGTCCCATCTGGTCCAGGATATGAGAATGTCCCTCCCTCAAATCAGGTTTGCGCATTCCCTGGCTCTACACCTGGATCATCCGAAGTTCTTGGTGATAATTATTTGAGGGTCCAATTTACTTACCAATATAAGAACACATGGAGAAATTTTGGTATTTTTTGGTGTTTTTTGTTAGGTTATCTTGGGTTAAAGTGTCTTCTAGCTGAATTCAAACCGTCATTTAGGAAAGAAGGCAATATTTTGTTATATAAAAAGAATTCCAAAATACTTTCTCCATTTAAAGATGAGGAATCAACTCCTGATGTAGGTGAAGTGAGTTTGAAACATCACACGACTGCAACCTCTTCAAATAATGAAACTATAGTACATGAAAAGGATGAAGTATTCGAAGGCTTGGGAAGTACTGGAAACTTCCTTTGGAGAGATCTTGTTTATACGATCCCACTTGAGGGCAGTACCAGAGTTTTATTGGATCATGTTTCAGGATATTGTATCCCAGGAAAACTGACTGCTTTAATGGGTGAATCTGGAGCTGGGAAGACTACTCTATTAAACACTTTAGCACAAAGGAATGAAATAGGTGTTGTGACAGGAGATATAAAAGTTGATGGTGCCAAAATTGATATTAGTTTTGGGAGACGTACCGGTTATGTTCAACAACAAGATGTCCATTTAGCAGAATTGACTGTAAGAGAAGCTTTAATATTCTCTGCTATGATGCGTCGTCCTGAATCAGTTCCTTATAGTGAGAAATTGGACTTTGTTGAAAAGATAATCGAGGTTTTAGAGATGGGAGACTATGCTGACGCTTTGGTTGGCTTAGAGGGTAGTGGCTTAAATGTCGAACAAAGAAAAAAATTGTCAATTGGTGTTGAACTAGTTGCCAGGCCTGATATTTTATTGTTTGTAGATGAACCTACCTCTGGGCTAGACTCCCAAGAAGCATGGTCAATTGTCCAATTATTGAAAAGGTTATCAGAGTCTGGACAGTCCATCTTATGTACCATTCATCAACCTTCTGCAACACTATTTGAACAATTTGATAGGTTGTTACTTTTGAAAAAAGGTGGTAAAACAGTATATTTTGGAGATATTGGTAATAATTCTGATACTGTCCTAGATTATTTTGAGAGGAATGGTGGAAGGAAATGTCTCGAAAGTGAAAACCCAGCTGAATACATTTTGGAAATAATTGGGGCTGGTGCCTCTGCTTCTGTAGAAGAAGACTGGGGTTCAGTTTGGAATAACTCACCTGAATCTACAACTGTTCAAAATGATATCGAAGGATTACTAAGTGAAAAGGGCAATAGGCCTGATGGTGAGCACTCCATTAATAAAACATATGCCACTTCATACTTTTATCAATTTAAATGTGTCCAGATGAGAGCATTTACAATTCTATGGAGAGATACTAATTATTTAGTATCGAAATTTATGCTTTTCTTAGTTACTGGATTATATATTGGTTTTACATTCTTCCATGTCCCCCAATCTTATAATGGTTTACAAGGTGCTCTGTTTGCAGCATTTTTGACACTGATTACTTCAGCACCAGTAATGAATCAAATACAAGCTAGGGCAATAGAGGCAAGAGAATTATATGAAGTTCGTGAATCTAAGTCAAATGTATTCCATTGGTCTTTATTACTTCTTTGCCAATATTTCAGTGAAATTCCATATAGTCTTGTATTTTCTGCCATTTATTTTGTAAGTTTCTACTTCCCTGTTGGTATATTTTACGAAGCGTCTCGATCAGCAGTATTTTACTTAAACTATGGAGTTATGTTCCAATTCTTTTACGTTGCCCTGGGATTAATGGTTTTATACCTGTCGCCAAATTTACAATCAGCAAACGTGATCATGGGTCTGACTTTATCTTTCCTTGTAGCATTTTGCGGTGTTGTACAGCCAAAGACTTTAATGCCAGGTTTCTGGACATTCATGTGGAAAGCATCACCTTACACATATTTCGTTCAAAATTTAATTTCAATCATGTTGCATGATAAGCCTGTTGTTTGTAAAGAGAAGGAGCTTTCGTTTCTTGATCCTCCTACAGGTTTAACTTGTGGAGAATACATGGCACCATTTCTCACAATAGCTCCAGGATACATAAACAATCCTGATAGCACATCTAATTGCGGATATTGTCTCTATTCAGTAGGTGACAGCTATTTAGAGAGAGTGTCAGCAAGTTATAGTAATCTATGGAGAAATTTTGGATTTTATTGGGCATACATTGTATTTAACCTAATAGCAATGGTAGTAAGTTACTACATTTTCCATATTTTAAAAATTCCTTCCAAGATAATACATATAATTAAAAATGCACTTGCAGCATTTAGAATCAAACAAAAGAATAAAAATAACAATTGATAAAACCCTATTTTCTTTTGTTTGTTTGTTTGTTTGTTTGATTCCCTTTAACACTTAATAATAAAAAGACATATTGAACTTTCATATTTAATTAATTACTACTTTCAATAATAATAATAATACTAATACAAATACTAATACTAATACTTGATATAAATAACACTCTTAATTCATATTTGGATGACATTGGCTTGACATATCTTCTTGATTACGTCGCCTTTATTCACTTTTAGTTTTTAAGGCCTTAATGAACAGAAAGACCGCATGGATTATTCATCTATTAAAAAAAAAAGTTAGATGAGTACCTTTATTCGAATTGAATCAAAATTATTGCCCTTACAAATGGTGTAATAGCAAGACATTCGACTCGATTAATGATTGAAATGAATAATATTAGTTATATTAAGGGGAACATATTACATGGAGGTAATATTCCTAGGATTCTTATTCACTCTTGTAACTGCAATGGCACTTGGGGTGGTGGAATAGCTTATCAGCTTGCTGTACACTATCCTGAAGCTGAAAAAATCTACACGGACATATGTGATGATTTTGGTTCTGAATTGCTTGGGAAATGTGTTCTAATACCTAGCTTTAGCGATGATTCATTATTAATTGGATGTCTTTTCACTTCAGTTTATGGTGGATCTAGTCATGATACTAAAAATGAAATATTGAAATATACCAAACTATCACTAATGCAGCTAAGTCTACAATTAGAAAATAATGATAGCTGTATCGATACGTGTTTAAGTGAATATAATCAATTACTAATATCAAATATTAAACATCATTTAAAGGATTATAAGCTAGAAATGCCAAAAATAAATAGTGGGATATTTAATGTGCCATGGGAAGAGACTGAAAAGATTTTAAAAGAATTAAAACCTATGGAGTTTACTGTATTTAGTATATAGTTTAAACATAAATATTTCTTAATTATTATTAATAATTTAATTTATATCATTAATTAATTGGGTATTTAATAAGTGATAATTTGAAAAATAGATAATATATCAACCAATGTTTTAATAAAATAAAAATTCAGATTCGGATCCAAACTGTGATTAAATATATAATCAATCAATATTAGAAAACAATAGCTCGTGTATATTTATCTCGATTGTCCTTGAAAAATAAATACAATTATTTTAATGGATGCTTCAGTAAAGGGCAGGTTCAATTGTTTGTGAATTTCTTAAATTTTCCCTTTCAAATTCCCTCCATGTTCTCATTTTAATTTTAGAATGATCAAATTCACCCTCAATATCATCTTTCCCCTCTGCATCATTGCCACCAGCAATTGTTCTTGTTTCCCCCCAACTGAAGTCATCAAATTTCCAGTATGCATATGAAGGAAGAATAAAATTCCAAACAGGCAAGGCAAACAGATAAATTAACATCCAAATCAAGTAAGACCATCTAGTAGCAGTAACAACCACAATCAAACCAGGTAAACCTAAAATTATACTTAACAAAACTAATGTCAAGATAGGAGTAGGGTTTGAGATAATAGCAAAAACAATCACATAAATAGTAAAACATAATGCTAATGGTAACACTAAAGTACCCAACAATTCCATACCAATAACAAATTGCATTGAAAAACAGAATGTACCACATAGATCTCTGATTAAAACTAGTTCAAATAGATTATGAACTGTAGAGTTAATCCAACGACGACGTTGTGAAAGAAGAACCTTAAAGCTATCTGGCGCAATGGTTTTACAGGCAGCTTTAGGGACAAACACCTGTTTTCTCTTTGGGAATGTTTTTAACATCAAAGATGATAGATATCTATCTTCACCCAATAGTAACAAATTCTTCTTATGCAAAGTGGTGGTAACATTATCCGAATATCTCTCCACAATATCTGGATTTGCCAAAATAGGTACCCAATAACCATCTGAACCTTTTGGAGATTTAATACGATAAATTGAGAAACAACCTGGCAAACATGTCACGGAACCAAAAACAGATTCAAATGCCTTTGATTGATGATGAGAGATGTAATATTCAAATACTTGAATTGCAGTTACCCATGACTGCCTTTTATTTGCAATTTTTGTTTCACCACATAACCCCATAATCATTGGATCTCTAACCATTTCGGCAACCATATGAGTCAAAGAATCTGGATAAACTTTAGTATCCGCATCAACCATTAAGACTGTTTCATAGAAATCAGCCATCAACCCTGTAATTCTCCATATATTTTTCAACATTTGGAATTCCAATTCTGACATTCTTTCATCAAAGGTTATTTTTTGCAAAAATGACATTAGAATAATTTGAGAATCACGCTTACCTCTATTACCTGGTTTTGCAGAACCTTGCTCATCCGGTGTACCACATTTAACTACTACAATCATAGGTACATGCTGTTGTCTTTCCGAAGGGACAGTTTCATCATCATACTTATAAAAACCAGCATAGATCTTTGCCATATTGTGTCTCTTAGTACCAGATGCAACAGCTACATAAGAATATGCCTGAACTTCATCAGGAGGAATAACAAAATCTGTCATCATTTCTAAAACAGTTTCTGGTGTTGTTTTATCGTTACCTGAACCTTTAATCAAACCGTCACATAAGACCATCAATAATTTATGAGAATTTGGATAATCAGTTGTAGTCAACGAGTCTAAAGTCGATCTGATACCTTGTTCACCTTCAGAATAGCAGGTAACACAACAAATCGTGTGGATTAATGGAAAATCAAATGGCATATAATCAACTGGGGGTTGTTGAACTACATCTGGATGGATATCAGTTGGGTCTAGTGAACGAACCTCAGAAGCCGCAGCCATAGGATTAGTTGCTGCTCCGTTCCATAAAAGTGATGTTGAAGATATTAAGGCAGATGGATTACGCGAATGCAAGCCATAGAATGATTTATTGTCAGGTGTCTCATTCGAGACTCTTAATGCATTCTGAGTACTCATTGTAACCACATCACCAGATTTTCCAAACCTCATTGAATCATTATTCAAATCAAGAGTGACTTCATTCAATGGCAAAAACTTTGAACCTCTTCTTTTATGAGTTTCCATTCTTGAAGCATTTGATGGAAACTGATCTCCTGGAAAAGTAGGCTTCTGAGATCCGATATTTAATCCTTGACTGTTTATGTTTTCAGACCAATCTTCGATTTCATTAATATGTTTAACCATCGATTTGTTATCAATTACGTAAGCACCTTGCTTTCTGCTTACGATCCAACGGAAATAACAAGCCACAATGAACTTTGCTACGACGACAGATAAAATAAAAACAATCGAAACGTATAATACTATGTCTGAAACAATACATCCAACAGTTTTTGAATCAACTTCACCAACTCTAATAATTTCAGTTAAACATCGACCAATTTTTTTCTCATGACTTGTAGTAAATACGATAGATAAATCATAACCTTGCAGATTACTTTTGCGCAGATCATCAAACAATGCAGGATAGGTCAATTGATCTGTTTCTAGCCAATCTAATAAGGACAAATCTAAGACATGACCATTGTACACAACTAAATTTCTTGTTGAATTTTTAATATCATCCCAAGTAAAATAAACGTCAGCATTGCTGTTTAAGCTATAATATGCATTTCTGGACTCTTCAGAAGTATGACAAGCCCAACCAGGGTAGTATTCTGATTCAGTAAAATTTGGTTTTGTTGAACCATCCTGAGAGAATGGCTTACATGGGAAATACCATGCCATATTACCGTTGTCATCAAATGGAGTAGTTGCATTATCTCTTGGATTGATTATACCAAGACAATTACCATTAACATTTTGAAATAAAAATGAAGCATCCATTCCACCATAACCTATAGGTGGATAAAGAACGTTTGTACCCGCTTCTATACCTGCTGCAGCTGGGTGAGAAGAAGAATCCAGATTATAAGCTTTACCATTAATAATCAGATAACTAGTTGAAACTTGATTATTTTTAAAACGAATTGGTGGATCCTTACAAACAGTTCTTGAGAAACCAAAAGTAATATAAGCAACAAATGCACCTAGATAAAAAATAATTGAAATCAAAGCAATTTTCTCTCTCCAAGCCATTTGTCTTTCTTTCTTTGGCATGCCAAATAAAGATAATAAAGGCGCAGGTGCCCAAAAGGTTATAATGTAGCAATATAATTGCCATAAACTCAATGATTCCTTTTCCTTATCATTCGAATTAGGTTTAGCATTTTTAGCATTTGGATTTGTTTCATATAACATATTTGTAGATTCATCTATCTGAATTGATGATTTCATAAATGGATCATTTTGTAAACCTGCCAAATCCAAATCATCCAATTCTATACTTTCTCTAATATCAGACTCTTTCCCGAGAGATTCATGACCAGTCCTACGAGATCGTATTGAATTGTTCTTATGAATATTGAAACCACCACCACTCCTTAACTCTGCATCATCATTATTTGGCAATAAATTTGGATCCAAACCAGTTGAAGAAGGTTGAACAGCAATTTTACCCCTTTGTTCTTTAGTCTTTTGAACATAATAATAGTGAGGATTATCAGGATTGTTCAACCTGTTTCTTTCTGGTCGAATCAATGAGTTCTGTCTGTTGATTCGACTGTTACTTCTTAAAGAACCTCTGTTCGAATTCAATAAACCTTCATTGTCTTGGTCAAACTGCACATAGTAATCATCAGAATGACCCTTCATCATACACAGCAACAACTACAACAACAGCACTGACCTAACTAAATATCTCAATAGACTTCTGGGATCCTACCACTGACAGATACTGACTCGAAACTAGTTTACTATTTATATATCTTGTGTTGTTGTGTGGTTATAGATTCAAGCGATGCTCTTGTGAAATAAATTTTCAATATTTAAATGAAATGTAAACAGAAGAGATATTTAGAGATGAGCTCAAGAAGAACAACGATGACAAAAGGAATTGTAATGAAGGCAAGACATTCAGGACAGGACGGGACTGTGGTTATTATCAGGGATTTTGAGATGTTTACAATTGAATATATTTAAAAGAGATAGTTGAAATAGGTTAATGATGGGATTTGTCGTCAAGAAATAAGGTGTCAGCCGTATTTTTCTTTGAATAAAGATTTGAGAATATAGATTGCCAAGAGATCCAGGAAGAATAAATTAAATACAAGGAATATTATAATTTTAATACTAGTTGTAGATTAAATATTTGGTTTATTTATTAGGTTTTATGATTACAATTTTGTCCCTTCTCCGCATTGTCGACATATTGAATATATAGATCAGTTCCTATGAAGGGATATAAAACTGTTGAATTGGCAATTGGATCTGATCTTTGATTTTCCACAATGGTAAGACGTTTACTTAAACCAGTTGAACCAAGATATATCCTTCCTAACAGCTTTAAAATATACCTCCCTTCCCGTACCGTTATCTGCTCTTTCTACCTTTCCTCCCTGCCAACGTGAATCCCATTCACCTTCCGAACGCACGTGACCAAGGCTCGTTGCAATCAGATTGCAACTGCAACTGCAACTGAACCGTCTCTCTCTCTCTCTCTTTCGAAGCTCAGGTCAAAGGATATATTCAATTCGATAAGGTTGCTGGATTATCGTTATTCTAGATCATTGAGAACCTATCTTTGATACTTTCTTGGGGGAGGGATAGACACTACTTCTTTGAAGGTTATTCTCTGTTGTTCGTTCGTTTGAGATACCATTACGAGCTTATTAAAGACACAAAGTGAAGAGCAAATTAAAGCTGAGCTACTGGAAGTTGGAACTTAACGTTGGAAATTTCGAACGTTTATATATATATATATATAGAAATTTGGGACAAGACAGAAAGTCAAACAGACAGGCAATTGATCTAATTAGCTTCATTTATCTTGAATTGAGATAAAGAGGGACACCAAGTTTATCTATCAATTAATTGCAAGAGGCTGTTGGCTTAATAATTCAAATACAATAGTTCAATAGTTAAAGATTTCGATGATTTCAAGACAAATCTTGAGTAGACCAATTGTTGGTCGTAGTTTGTTGTTGAGAAGTGGATTGACATGTAGACCAGTTTTGGGCAATAGTTGTAGACTATTGCATAGTTTTAGAGTGTTGAAACAAAAAGAAAATGATAATGATAAGGGAGAGATTGTATTTAAGAGCAAGAAACCGTTAAGCAGGATTCCAATTGGGGGAAGTTTTGAAAAACAGTCAAATTCTGCTAACGGTGATCGTAAACCTATTGTCAATACTGCCAGTGGTACAATTGAATTTTCAACTTGGAAAGCAGCATTGTTATTTATCGTTGTTGGTTCAGGATTATATTTTATCTTTGAGAAAGAGAAGAAAAGATTAGAAGTTGAAAGGGAAGCTGAGGCTAATAGAGGGTATGGTAAACCTGTAGTTGGTGGACCATTTAGTTTAATCAATTGTTCCACTGGGGACAGATTCAACGAAGAGAATTTGAATGATAACTGGTCGATAATATATTTTGGTTTTACACATTGCCCAGATATTTGTCCTGATGAGTTGGATAAGTTAGGAGTATGGTTGAATTCATTGAAAACCAAATTTAATATCAAGTTACAACCAATCTTCATTACATGTGACCCAGCAAGAGATACACCAGAAGTGATGGAAAACTATTTAAAAGATTTCCATCCTGATATAGTTGGGTTGACAGGTAGTTACGATGAAATCAAAAATACTTGTAAACAATACAGAGTTTATTTTTCCACACCACCAAATTTAAAACCAGGACAAGACTACTTGGTTGATCACTCAGTATTCTTTTATCTAATGGACCCAGAAGGTCAATTTGTACAAGTGTTGGGTATGTCCAACGATGAAGTTACAGGTGTTGATAAAATCAAAGAGCTAATCGATGGCTATGTCCCATCGAGTGAAAGAGAAAAGCGTAAAGGCAAGTGGTATTCGTTCTTATTCGAATAGTTTAGTTATAATGAGAACTTTGAAAGAAAAACTTGCAAAGAAACCAGCCCATATCCTCATCGGTAGGGAAGGGACACACACACACACACAAACAAACCCTGTTAAACCAGAAATTTTAATTGTCAAGTCAAAACAAAGTACTTACGTTCCAGTTCAATAAGATGAAGAAAAATTTTTCATTCATATTCATTCATTCATTCACAATATTGAACCGTTCGACTCTAAATAGAAAGTATACTAGACATCTTGTAAATAAGAACAGGAAGAATAAAAATTGATTTTTTTTTTAATTATCTTTACTTGAATTAGGTTGGTTATAGTTTCTCTTGTCATAAAACGTTATACCAATCCAGTGCATGGTTGAGTTTGTGGACTGACTGACTACCTTGCACGAACGAACGAACGTTCAGTTGAGGTTGCTTGAACGTTTCTTGCTATAACCAGGAGGAAACTTAAAAGCAAAGTGAAGGAAAGCCAAAGCCAAAGCCAAAGCCAAAGCCAAAGTAACAAGGAACGTTCATTCTTACACGAAATGGTGTTGGGTCTTGTGAGGAAGACAGGTGAGCACTCTTGACTTCTTTTAATAGCAGCCTTGGAACACTACCAGAACTGCTCTCCCATTGCAGATGAGAGATGCCAAAAAGAGACAAGACATGGCAAGACAAAACACACATTGCTTGCTGGGATAACGTTCAATCCTCGCCATCCTCATCCTCATCCTCATCCTCATGCCCCCCAAATAAAATGGTCAAAGAGTTCTTGTTTTGTTGCTTTGCTTTGGCTTTCCTTCACTTTGCTTTGTGATATCGTTATACCCTCTTGCTGTCTTGTCTTGTCTTATTCCAGTTGCAATTGCTCTTGCAGCTTTGAATCGTGTCCTGTCCAGTTGGAAAATATATGGCTGGTGATTTTGGAGTTGCAGTTGCAGTTGCAGTTGCATTTCAATTTTGCTCACTGTTGTTGCACTCTTGTTGTTGTATTCCCGTGGTTTCCTTTTCCTTCAATTTTCCTTTTCCTTTTCCTTTTCCTTGTCTGGTCTCTTGGATGGTAACCAAGTGGTTCGTTAATTTGAACATTTCCACTCACGTCCTGGTCCTAGTCCCAGTCCTATTCCCAGTTCAAGCTAAAGCTAAAGCTAAAGCTCTAGTTCAACTTCATCTGGTTCCTCTTGCCATCAGTGATTGTTACTGTTGTCGAACCGAATTTTTGTACGTCCTGAGCTTTAGAGTGATTTCTTCGTCTCTCTTGCTTAGCCTCTGGTGTTGTTGTGTATCTTTCACTCTTTGGCTTTGGCTTTTGGTCTTGGTCTTGGTTTTGGTGTTATATATTATATATTATATATATATTTTGCAAAACTACACGATATATAGCAAAGTTAGGTGGAATATCTTAATACAAGACTTATCAAGCCACGGTGAAGAAAGGTAGAAAAGTACAAGAGAACCTTGGGTTTAGTTAAATTAAAAGTTGGACTGTATACTGCCCAAACCTGTAAGATACTGTTCATATCGAAGTTTCAAGCTTTCATTATCTCTGTTATTGCTTTAAAAACAGAGTTGAATAATTTTTTTTCCAAGCTGGGGATTAACTCATAATCAAATATTATTTATCTCATTCTCATTGTCATAATCATAGTCATAATCATATCCATAACCTCAACCGCAACCAACATATCTATAAAGCAATAATGACAGTGAGACTATATTGGTTCACAGCTGTTATGGGCTACGTTGTGCAAACAAAATTTCTATCCCATGTCCAATCTTTAAACACCAACAAGAACAATGACAATTCCACTTCAGACTCCATCACAGTCTATTTGACTTTTATCTACTTTGCTTCATGGTTACTTATCTTCCCATTATCTAAACTATTAAAAGATAACTCTACAAGCTCATTGCCAATTTCAAACCAGATCGAAAACCGTATCAATTCAGAGAACTTAAATTTGAATCACAAACAACTGTTCTCCTATTCATATTTCAAATACTTTGTCAAGATCTTTACCTTGGCTATCCTAGCTCTGGTCACTGTCCTTTCTTATCATACTGCTTTGGCTATTACTCCTGCATTCGATGTGGCTTTAATTCAAAATACTTCAAAATTCGAAATCACTATACTATTGTTTGGTATCTGTGGTATAGCTAAGAGAAAGAATATCTTTAGAAACTATGTCATAATCATGTTTGGCTTATTAGGTGTCCTTCTAATCGCCTATACAAAGGCCACTTGCGACTTCCTTTCTGGTAAGCTAACTATAAACCAAGAAACTGGTGAATTAAATGATCCTTTCTTATTTGATAGATTAAAAGGTGCTCTGATCTGTGGTTTGGGTGCCCTAACTACTGGTCCTTTCGCTGTGCTTTATAATCGTTGGTTTAACACAGAAAAGGACAGCTTTGTTAAGCAAGGTAATCATTTGCTATTGATTGGTATAATAAATATGATCCTATTGTCTCCTTTCTTCCCAACTGTCTCCAGTTCAAGCGTATCGTTACTTTATAGTGGTAAAGAATTTTGGTTACCTGTTCTATCCTCTATTGCATTAGGTACTTTACCACATTTATTATCCCTATTATATTTGAATAGAAATGCTATCCCAGAATATTTAACTACTACTAATTTAGGTATCATCATAACGATGGGCTTAGCCGAATGGATTTGTGAACCAACCCAAACTTTCATTGTAAGATGGGAAGTTATTGGTTATCTATTATTATCCGTTGCTTGTGTCATATTATCAATATCTTTCTATGATACTAGACACTTCCATTAATTGTAAAAATATTAAGCAGAAATTATAAAATTTGTCATTTTACTTTTGTTGTTTTTATCATTTATATATATTTTATTTTGGCACTCACATCCAAACACACATTTTACTCATGGTTTAACATTTATTCATTATTCATTATATTTTAACGTATCTCATTTTATATTATATCATTACTATTACAAAGATTTTTCATTTTTATACAGTTCTATATTTATAATAAATTTTTAATCAACTAAAACCTACCATCAAGCCTTAAAAGATTCTCAAAATAAGAATAATCATAATATTTATATGTATCGTTGCATAATTCTATCTCCAAAAAGCTTCTTAGAAATATCTTTCTAAATAACTTCCACTTGCCTTATAACTAAATCCTTTGAATAAATAATCTGATTTCCTGACTATTTCAATTCCATCGATAATCTCTTCACTATCCTCATATGACATTGATGTGAATTCAGAATCAAAATTTTCTGCTAATTCCCAATTTGTAATTATTGGTACTATTGGTCCTAATGTCTTCTTTTGTGATTCACCACTTTCCATTAATTTCCAATCAACTTTGCGGAAAATAAAATGCGATTGGAAAGTACTGGTTCTTTCCTTTTTATTCTTCTTTTTACCTTGCTTAGATCCTGATTTATCATTAGTTTCTTTCCAATACTGATCAACATCCCATCTTTTTTTACTTTCCTTCTTCAACAGTGCTCCCAATACGTCTTTCATTCCGTCACTTAGATAATATGGCAATTTTGGACCCTGTTTGTCCTTTTGTATTTTGTTCAATATAATTTTATGATTAACACCAGTATATGGAGGTTTACCAATTAACATGTCATAAATTAAACAACCTAAGGAATACCAATCACAATTTTGAGAATATGGCAATCCTTGTAAAATTTCTGGAGCACAATATTCTGGAGTACCGATTATTGAATATAATTCAGTAATATTTTCTCCTTCTGCTTCATGATCTTCACCCACATCTTCATTTTGTTCAACAGCTATTTTACTTAAACCAAAATCAGTTAAAACTAAATGGCCTCTTTCATTTAATAAACAGTTTTCAGGTTTTAAATCTCTATAAACAATACCTTTACTGTGTAAAAATTTTAAGGCACAACTGATTTCTGCTGTATAAAATGCCACTGTATCTTCTTGTAAAGTACCGTGTTCCTTTAAGTGAAAGAATAACTCACCACCTGGAATATATTGTAATAATAGATATAATTTCGATTCATCATGAAACGCATAGAACAATTTTACAATATTAGGATGTTCTAAATCTGATAAAATTGTCTTTTCAGCAAAAGTTCTCTCTAATCTTTTCGAAAGATCTGAGTCACTCTTCGTTAAAATATTGTCTAAATTATCATCATCTGAATCAACTTCTTTATTCGAGTTGTCAATTATTATCTCTGCCTTTTTAAGTTGTTTCATCGCATATAGTTTATGAGTTGATTTATCTTTGACTAAAATGACTTTACCATAGGCACCTTTCCCAAGAACTCTAACAGGCTTAAAATCATATAAATCTCTCGATAGTGAACTACGTTTAATACATGATTCTATCAAATTTTCAGATTTTTCCAAAGATGTAGGAGACGTCCCAATTGTTGGTATCTTAATCTTACTGCTGTTTGCAGGTGTAATAACTTGAAATTTTTCTAAAGCAGAAGATCTTCTTCTACTCACACCCTTTTGACTTGGAATAGGTTTAGCATCTACAGATAAGTGTGTCCTTAAAGTAGCCCCTTCATCAATAGTTTTTGATATAGAAATATCATCGTCACCATCATCATCAATAATTGCACTACCGTCATCTAGCCGGAGATTCTGTAATTCTTCATCCAATGAGAATATCATCTTCAAATAAAGAAACCCCTTCAACAGTATATTACCAGCCAAAGTATTCCCACAAATCACACAAATTTATCAGACTTCATCACTCTTAAATAACAATTCTATTTATTTATAGCAGATGACTTTTGTTGCTTAAAATATCAAATGTCAACTGTTATTTTTTTCAAATATCATCATTAGAGGAAAAAAATAGTTGAGATGTCAGATATTTCATAAGATGACTACCAGGATGACAGTAAAATGAATAGTAAATGTATTGTTCTGCATGTGTTGAATCGTGATTTATGTTATTGTTATAGATCCATCTGAGTGTAATGCATTTTAATAACTTTAGTACTCGATTGAATTTTAAAAATTCGTTGATTGGTTGGTTATCACAATAGTTATGACATTGAAATTATATACAATTAATTATATGGTTATATAAGTAATATATAAATATATATCTGTGTATGTGTATGTGTACTTGTTGTAGTTGTAGTCGCAGTTTCGATGGTTGGATATATAGATATATAGATATATATATAGATTGAGTCACCACAAATAGAGTTCGAACGTAAATTTGAAAATGATGAGGCAAAATAGATCAGAAGAAAGGATAACCTTTAAAAGTTGATTGACAAAGACTTATCCCTCTGATAAACCAAACGTTGGTGATAAATTTAGTGTACAGATTAAAAATAGAATCGATATGTTAATTGATAGATCAGAAAAGAATAACAACAGCGGTACTATTATTTGTATTAATATTCATAGTTGAGGGGAGGGGTGGGTTAAAGATTCAAATCAAACATCCCACCACTATTGAGTCAGCTCTTTTGAAGCTGTCTTAAACACTTCAATAAGTTTGTTGTAACCTTTCTCTTTGAAAATTCCTTTCTTTGTAAGGATTGTAGTCAAGGAGGTTAACACCTCTAATATCTGTTGATCGTTGAAACTTAATAGGATACTTGAAAGCACGGCTTCGACTGTTAATCTATTTTCACTGATAAATGTTTCGTAATACAAGTTTGTGAATGATCCCATCAAGAATTGACAATCAATTCTATCGGTGATACCACCGTGACCAGGAATTGAATCACCAAAATCTTTCACTTTAAAAGTTCTCTTTAAACCAGAAGCAAAGAACCCACCAAATGGAGCGAATAAAGATGCAAAAGTAGCCAAATTCAAAGCATGGAAATAGATTGGTTTGATTGTAACTGATGAAATACCGAATTTTTCGAAAACCATTGGTGGCAATGGATAACGCTGTGGGATGAATACAGGATTTAGTTCACAAGTTAATGAAGAGAAAAAATTTGTATTGATATCTTTGACAGGACAGGTCATATATGAGAATGGTTCGAAGATTCTTGTCAAGATCACACTAGCTAGAGCGGTGAAGAACCAAGCACCAATAAAACCTTCTAAAGTTTTCTTTGGCGAGATTTCAATTAGCTTAGTACGACCAAAAGTGATACCACATAAGTAGGCGAAGATGTCATTGACGATGACTAAACCACATGGGACTAAGAACCAGAATAAACCATTGATGACATTCTTAATGATCAAATGAGCTTGGAAAACCACCAAAGCCAAAGCCATATGGGTGATACATAAAGAGGCAAATTGGAATTTTAAGAAACCTTTTCTTAAAGTACAAACAAAGAAGATGAAACCAAATAAGTATAGAAAGTAACAAACGAATTTATGATGAGACACGATTAAAGTCAAAAATGGATGTTCGAATAAAAAGTTCTGGAAGAATCTAAAGAAAGTTTTCCCATCCAAATAATAAATTGTTGTGAATAACAGATACCAATTTAAAGTTTTAGTCAATGGCAAGTTTTTAGCACTACCGGAAGCTCCAGTAACAGCTATACATTCCTTAAAAGTAGCCACTTGACAGGCAATAATCAATAAAACACAGTAAAAATGACCAGAAGCCAATATAGCGAAAAATCCTGCAAGCATTACAAAAGTCCAACTAGTTCTTATAATGAAATTGTAACGTTTATTAGCATTTGGAGAAGCATTAGCATTGACACTAGTAGCACTTGCACTACTAATCGAATCATTGCTAGAGGAAGCAGATGATGCCTTCTCCACAACGTTGGAATCACCATTGACACCTTTTTTGTGACGTTTGTCTTGGCCATCACCTCCAGATGACATTTTCTTACTAGCAGATTTCTTCTTAGCCATATTATATATATATATATATATGAATGGATGGATGAATGAATGAATGAATGAATAAATAAATGAATCTAGCTTTTAAATCGAATTTCCGATAATTATCAAAAAGTTCAAAGAAAAGGTATAAAAAATAAAACCACACAGAATAAAGCTATGGAACTCACTTATCACTCCCAAAATAAACCAAAAATAATCTTGCTTAGCCAGTGTTTTCTTGATACCAAATAAAATGATACAAAATTGAATAAAACTACAATTAACACTTGAGATTACAGATGATAATTTTATAAAATTAAAAAAGAAAAAACGATTAAATTTAAAAATTATCCCTGTTTCGATAACAATCTACCACTCTTGCTGGAATCGAACTACCAATTGAGTATAAATGAGACAACAAAATCGAATCTTAACACTCATTGACCTCAAAAATACCATCTAAAACAAGTTAAAATCCATTAAAGTTCCCAAAATGAAACTTATTAAAGTATGTTACATTCTTATTGAAATTTTCACCATTTTGATTTCATTATGGACAATTTTAGAACAATTTCGAAAATGTATGGCAGAAGCTATGTAACAAAGAGGATAAAAGAACAGGTCAGCAATGGATGTGAAGTAGATGTGATTGAGTTCAAGTACAAGGGGTATGGGGAGGGACGATTTGGAGATGAGTAGTTATGTTTTCAAGTTGTCAAGTTTTCAAGAAGGAGGAAAAGGAAGGGGGGACATCTTTCCTTTGGTCTTGTTAGAATAAAAGGATTCTTTCTATCTTAGAATAGTGTTAAAAAGTTACATAATACATATACAAATATATATAAACGATGATAATAATTAGACTAAGAGTTGACGACACTAGTATGTTACTTTGTAGTTGAGTTTTATCGAGTGTGTGTGGTCTGTTTGACAATTAGATGTAGGAGAGAGAGAGAGAATGAGAGAGAATGAGTGAGGGAGCATTATTGGGAAATTTATCAATGCATAATGTATTGATTTTTATTTTTCTTTGATCTACGTTCACTATCGACACCTTTAGCAATGAATTCGTAGTCAAGATAGATATCCAAGTCTCTGTTATTCATTTTGTTTGGTGAACATGTCAAATGACCTTCCAAAATATCACCCTTTTCACATTCCAAATCATCCTTCAAGTAAAACACGGTTTGTTTCCAGTGTGTGTATGGTGCATGAGGTCCTGTGGAGAATGTAATTGGTTTCTTACCTTCTGGTGATGGGAATTCGATATCAAACCACGAGATTAACCCATTAATCCAATCTTCTCTCTTGGCTTGAATTGTGAAACTAGCTTTGAAATCCAAATCAGATAGTTTAACAGTGTTTAAATCAAATTCGATCAATTGACTACGTGTGGTATTAACGTTGACGTTTTCAACTATATCAACGATTGGTTCCCTCATGATCAATGGAATAAATGGTGTGTAATCAAACCCATAGACATCTTCCCAATAATTTATCTTTTCGGATTTATATTGAGAATCTTCCAAACCTGCAATATGGATCGAACATTTGTCTGGGAAGATCAACCCACCTTCGACCAAATATTTATCTCTTGCATATAAAACAGTATCCATCATGGACTCGTATAATAAGAAATAACCCATCCATTCAGATATAATAATATCGACTTTTGGAAATGGTAATTCGATATCTTCTAATTTACCACGCAATAATGTAATCTTATCTTCGAATCCATTCAATTTGACCAACTTGTTGGCCATTTCGATGATAGAAGACATATCAACACCAATAACATGTTTGGCACCGTTCTTGGCAGCAAACATAGACAAAATACCAGTACCACAACCAACATCCAAAACAATTTTATCCTTAAACAGGTCTTTGTTTTGCATTATAGCGTTTCTATAAGATAATGTACGGACTGTGTCTTGCAACATTTCCTCATGAATACCATAGTGATCATAAGAATTGAAATAATGTTGTTCAGTTTGACTTAGTGTCTGCTTATCAGTAGCAGACTCAGTGACAGTAGTCTTATTGCTCATCTCAGAAAACAATTATAAACTAATTACACTTTACTGCTTTTTATCTAACCTCCTAAATCAATCAAACGAAATTGAAACAAAAACAAGATAAGAAATAATCAATAACAACAGATAGAAATGAAACTTATAAACAAGATAAAAGAACAATTATAATCAATAACATCAACAATCAAATTCAATCAAACCTTGTTGAAATAGTGGTCCACTTGCTTAGTTTATTACTGTTGGAAAATTTTCCAAAATATTGAAAAATTCGCGATGAGCTTCGAAATGAGGAATCGACGAAATTTTTGATTTGGTTCGATTCGGTTCGATTCGAAGTGTCAGCAATGGCTGAGCCAAAGGACTTGGACGACCAGATGTGTCGGTGGTTGGTTTGATGGAAGAGGGTGGGGGTGGGGGGAGAGAGAAGATATATACAATTGTTAAATAAAAGTTTAGAATTTAATTGAACAGTAGAAAGCTGATCAAAAATCCATTCCATTACGATGTGTGGTGGTGGTGGTGGTTAGAGGTGGAGAAACATGTAATGGGATGAGATGAAAATAATGAAATAAGTTTCCAAAAAGTTTAAGCACAAGTTAAAGAACATACTACATCGATATATTTTGAAAAACACCATATATTGCTAGGAAATGATACAAAAAGTGAATAATATCGATGTTTATGGACCTCACTAGTTTATTCAGAATAGAATAAAAGTGTGGGATCCATTGTTTTCTTCTTTGTATTGAACAATGTTACTGCTATTACTTTAATTCGACTTGTTAGGAATACAGAGCGCAAGTATATAACAGTGTACATCGAACTCTGAAACTTGACTTATTGATAACAGGTTAATAGGCTAAGAAGTAGTCTAGCCCAATTGAATAGGGAAAGTAAAAACATTTTGTTGTAAATGACAAAATGTTTTTGTAAGGCTCAGAAAATCGTTGATCAGTTGGGTTGAATGATAAATTTAAGAGATATTTCCACGGTTAAAAAATGCATTGTGAATAAATTTTACATTTTGTTAACTATCACTTGAAAAAATCGTATCACCACGGCTGCCACGATGTGGAACTGTTGGCAATAGACTTGATAAGCTGTCAAAAGGTATTAAAATTTACTGAAAAGGACCTTTTTTTGGTTTCTAATAGATTTAAACTATTTTTGTTCCTGCTTGAACATTGTGTTAATGAATATGATTGCCGACAGAAAGTTAACAATGAGCCAGGCATGTATATATATACATATGTATGTATGAGGTTACTAATAACCTCCAATTGCAAACCAAACTCAAACCTAGACAATCATAAATCTTAAGTTGTGGATTCTAGCAATATTAATTAATATATATGTTTTTACCTTTAATAAACGGTGTGGTGTAGAGGTGTGATGTGATTTCAGGAACCATATTGTTACAGAAGTCGAACCAAACCATATCGAAGATATCTAAGATCAATAATACAAATGAAGTCAAACCTGGTCATTCTCACTTTAAATTGGAACATGTCTGAGATGATCTTACAGATGCCATTACTGAAAAAAAGTAATCGCATCCACCTATCATCACAGATAAATCCCAAAACAGATCAAATAAGGTTACTTATTGAAAGGTCAAAATTAAGAAACTTCGACCTGTCAATTCAGAACCAAGAACCTGCTATTAAACTCTCTGCATTATTTGATGATCCTGAAGGACTCCTAATTACAGTCTGGTAACCTTTGCAACAGATTCGAAATCTCCAATCATTTTATATGGAATGCAATGGAACAATTAGGATCATGATCGCAACATTGCTATCTTCAAATTCAAATTAACCACAATGAAAAAAACAACAACAATTATCCTTAGGAACCTCGATAATCTAAACACTTCTTGAATCTACAACTAGAACTGTCGTCGGTGTATCTCTTCTTATATACAAGAACTTGTAATTAAAACAGAATCGATCTATCCCATTACCAATTGATGATACCTTCAAATATCAATTGAAATTGTCATTTTGAAGGTTTTATATTACAATAATCACCGGGTAAGTGATAGAATACATTACATACATATATGCATATTTACATATTAGACATATATTTTAATTATACATTGATCAATTGGAGATCTAGGTAGTGGCTAGCCTTGCTATTCTCAAACCAGTGGGTATCTCTGTTTGTGTGGTGTGGAGGAAGGAGAATGAAGTGAGTGTCTTTCCTCATTTGTGATACCGGATCACAACTTCTTCATGAAACATTTAAATCTCGAAACTTATAGCAAGAAACCCCGTCATTTTAATAATAGGATAATAATGGTATTCTAAACAAAGGAGCGATGTCCCTGTTTATTTTCCATCCTTTGGTGCACTAGTATAAAATGTTTTCCAAAGATCACAAACCGATTCGAATTGAGAACCCAATGCAATCGAACTCTCTAGAGATATATTCAATCCGTTCAGATTGTTTAAAATCGAATCCATAGTATTGGTAATATCTTGTAAGATCAAGTCTCGTTTCTCCATGAACAATTGATCATTATATTCTTCACGTTCACGTTCACTTGCACCACCGATGATGCTCTCTGAATCTGACATTATCTAAAACGAAAAATTAATTGCGAAACCCTTGTTCAACAGTTATAATACAACTTGAAATTGATTTTGCTCAACCTCAAACCATTCTTAATCATCACAATCCCATTATAACCCTCTTTACTTATATACTATAGATCCATTTAGTGGTGATGTCAATGCCCTATCCAGAGATTTCATTATGGGTTGTTTGATATTTGATCACTTTCCCATATTGAAAAATTCAGATTCCGTTATCTTAGTTACCCGGAAACAGATTGTTTGTTAGTATATAAACAGAACTGAAATGAAGATTTTAACTATGAATTAACCACTTTTAAGAGGTACTTTTTGGTTTAAATTATGGTTTTATTGTATATGTTATCTTTTGGTTCCAATTTAAGTTAATTAGCAACACCCAGTATCATTGGCTGTTTTAATTTCACCAACATCATAACGGTCTCTTTAATCTGGCAGATAAAATATTTTTAATTATTGGACGACTTAAGTTCCGCTGTTGAATTTAGTTGTAATGTTCATTAGCTTTACTGTTGTCTATACATCCTGTATTTGCATTCACTAGTATTCTTCTTGTTTTGTTTAGGTTCATCTAGCCCATTCACATGTATTTTATTTGTATATATAAATATATTGGTATGGACATGAATATTTATTTTATACATGTTAATGCTAAATGTATATATTGAATATTGGGAGAGAGTTTTAGGAACAAATGAAGAAAAAAAGACTACATAAAAAGATAATTTGATTTTTGTAGTTCATGCGTTTCATATTTTTTCAAGATTACTATTATTGACTTAATCACTGATGCCATCTTCGTCTGTGTACCTTGGTTCAACATCGAAAATTAATTCGTATTTCCTCCATTTCTTCCGTAATTCACTTTTTGGGTCATTATATTCTACTTCTTTCTCCTTATCAAACTCGTCTAACCAATCCCATGGTTTCTCGAATTGATCCTTGTTATCGACAAACAAGTATTGTTCTAATGCTTCTTCATTAGATATCATAGCTTCACCTTTGGTTAAATAACTCCAGATTTGGGTTAGATAGAATTTTAAACTTCTAAGACCTCTAATGAAACCACGATCTTCGTTATTAGGTGTTTTAGGAGGCATTCTGAAGTTTTCAATCCCACCATCAAGGTCGTCTTTAGTTACGCTTCTTGCAAAATCAATTAAATATAATTTTGCCTTTGGTTTTTTAACTCCACCGTCATACATTAATAGTAGTGACGCTCCGTATAACCTATAGCCCTTTAATTTATGCAATTCTGCAGACAACTTTTCTAATCTTGCTATCAAATTAGGAATTTGAAGTAATATACTCGATATATTTTTACCATTGTAGAAAAATCTTGCAAGGACTCTGGTAAATTGCCATCCTATTTTAACTCTTCTGCCAAAATATTTATCCCTACAGATATAATAACTTTGGTCCCAAACCTTTAAACCACAAATACGAGAACCTAACTTCCTTGAAGTAGTATTTAGACATTTTTTCCTCTGAGATAACTGTTTGGTTTTAGTAGCATCAACACCATATTGTCTAGTCCCCATTTTCAAATCTAAAGCACAAGGTTTAACTAATTTCCTTGTCAAATCTTCCAGTAAAATGAATTTGGAAACAATAGTATCAGAGTGTTCTTCAAAGGTTATTGATTCATTATTATTTGAAGTTGGAGAATTGATGCTATTAGAACTATTCCTATGATAAAAATTAGAACTATTATGCGATATCACATTATCACCATCAATGATAACGTCATCATTACCAGGTCCTGTTAAGGACAATGGTGACATTATCAATTGATTATCTTCATTGAAATCCGACTTAGACTTCCCACTAGCATGAAGAGGTGTTGAAATATCAGATAAACTATACTTCCTTGATTTTTCTTTGGCTATTTCTTTCCTATGAAATTGTTTTAAATCCATCATTGAACTTGAAGAATCGACTGCATTGGATAGACTTTCCTGTATAGCTTTGTGCAATAATGGGGATGCTGATCTATCTTTGCCTTGCTGACCGTTATCAGTAGGTCCTCTGTCAGCAAGATTTCTAATTGCATCATTGGATAAAGATATCCCGGAGTTTGTGTTCTTCAAGTCAGCAGAGTTCATGCGCTGTCGCCTTTGATGTGTTGGAGCAAACACTTCTTGCAAAACCAATTCTTGAAGTTTTGTATTCACCATTGTTGATCCAGAATCACAATTGTATTTAGATTCATAAGTATTAGTCTCAGTAGGAGGAGGATAAATTCCTCCGTGTAAACAGAAGTCTCTTTGAGAATTCAGTGGTGAATCAGAATATTGACCCCATAGGGAATCAGGAATGATATGCTTATTGTCATTCAAGACAACTTCTGGTAATAAATGCTGTTGTTTTATATCCTCTTTTATGATAGGAGAATGATCATAAGATTTCGAACCAATCCTAGTTAAATCATTATCATCGACGGAGAGGATATGTGAATGTGTTTTCATAATTGATGGTTTCCTAGGAATTTCTGCTGTATCTGCAAGTTGTGGTATTTCCTCAGGATAAGATTTGACATGCTTTAATGGTTCTGATTTATACTCATCGTTATATTTTCCATCGTTTACGAATTGTAATTGCTTATATTTATGTTCCTTTTTCATTTTTTTGTTATTTGACAATTCACGAAGAAAATCTTCCTTTGATCTAAAATGTTGACGTACATTCAGAACACCAATATATCTGGGCATAAATTTCAATAATTCTTTATGCTTTAATTCTATAGTTTCATACCACTTATTTTCTCTATTGACCAAAGCCTTACAAACTGCCCTTTTTGAGAACCTGAAGATTGCAGTATGCCCACCAACGTTATTAGTGAAAGGTTGTAATTCTACAGCCAATGGATAAATATTATCACCATTTTCTTCCTCATCTTCTTCATCCTCTTCATCTTCGTATTGGCCTGTCTTTTCAGTTGGAGGTTCTATCTTGGTATCTTTCTTAATTTGATCAGAAGTTTGCTTTATTTCACCTGTGCTCGATTCGATCTTTTTATCAACTATGGTCTGTTTTTTACTATTATTGTTATTTTTCGTGTCTAATAAATTTTCCTGTTTTATAGGTGTTATAAGGTCATTGTCATGAGTTTTGCTATCTATAATACCAGCTTGATTATCTATAAAATCTGTATCATCTATTGAAATATCATTTTCGTGATCTACTGATTTGTGTGGATAATAAGTAGCTGAAGAAATAGGAGTCAATGATAACCCTTCAGAAGTTTGTTTCAAACCGTCGTAATCGCTTCCAATACCCTCCTGAGTAATACGAATAGTATCTCTATCATGGTTACCATTTTTTTTAAATTCTGACAAATTCGATTTGTCTAATGCAAGTGAGGAATCAATATTTAAATATTGAACGGATTTTGGTAAATTAATGTTATTTAATGAGTCTTGTGATTTCCTTGAATCGATTATTTTATCACCAGACCTCTCTACCGTTGCGTTTATAGTAGAATTGCAGGTGGTTTTTTTAGCACCGGTAGTAGTGGTGCTAGAAGTGCTAACAGTGGCATTGTTGCTTAGCCGCACTTTTTCATCTATTGGTTGTAAATCAGAATTTTTTCTAATGATGTCACCATCATCCAAATAAGGTTCGCTGTCATCAGTTTCGCTATTATTTAAAGAAGAATCTCTACTCTGTTGATTGACGTCATCTCTGAATATCCTAAGATAAGCACTTGCCTTTCTCCCACGTAAAATAGTTGAAGATGGATTCAGCATAACTTTACTTTCAGAGAAGGGATCACTTAGATGTGTAATACTTTCATTTGATTTCAAATGCTGGACAGTATCACTCGGAGTATTCCTTATATTGTCATTGTTGCTATCCTTTGAAATATCAATCATCGTTATTTCGTACTATCCTGTATTTTTGTAAAACGCTAAAAAATTAGACCTGTAGTATATATGAACATATGTTTGAATAAAATATAATGGAACAAAAACAATCACCCAATGGTATAGTAATGTTTGTAGTTAAAATACTAAACAGTAAAACGTAAAGTAAAGACCAAGTCAAGTTCAAGTCCAAATTTATATCAAAAAATCAAAAATCAAAAATCAAAAATCGTACGCTACCTGCACACCAGCAATCAAATAGACATAAACTTACCTCAGCAATACACTACACACTGTCTTGACCTTGTCCAACCACCTAGTAATCACAACAACAGCCTTGTATATTCAAAATAAGATGTAAAGTATATATATTTATCTATATTGATGTGATATCTATTGGGAATAGTTTGTTCTTGATTTCTGGTCGTTGCAGTGAAAAAAAAAATATCACCAAAAATTTACCAAGAAGGAAGAGCCAGCATTGGAGAACTTTAAGATGGTTCAATCCATTCGAAAGAGAGGTTTGATTGCATACATACAAGACAACAAGATTGTGGTTTAGCTTGATGTTGATAAGGATGTTTATGTTTATGTTGGTGAAGACACCTTTATTGTGCATAGCATGGGGGAGGGACTCCCTATCGCAGTGCTCATCTCGCCATGGTCGTGCCAGACTGTATGCTGGACTGAACCTTGTGTCTATTTGGATATGTGCTTACTTTGCATCATAACCATGACAACAGCAACGTTCTTATAAAATGTCACGAATACCACGTTCCATTGGTATTGCCATCAACACTGGCATTAGCATTGGCGTTGGCTTGTTTAAATACTATATACTAAATAGGCACACAGTATATGGTTGGCCTCATCTACAACTATCTATATATATATGTATGTGTGTGTGTGCAAAATTATGTATCTCTATATCTGTATTGATGATTGGTTTTTTTAACCAATTGGTTCTGTATCTTGTTGGTTTCTCTTCAGTATTGCTTTGAAATTGATCTGAAACAATCTTGAAAATACATCGTCCTCTATATAGAAACTACCTTTATATATTGTGATATATGGCTAAAGATGGTTGAATATGGTTGAATATGGTTATATATCAGTTACAGTACTGTTATTAAAGTGTTCATCGATGTTATATCGAGGATTGATTGAGTTGGGTTCCCTCTTGTAACGGTTTTGAATTCTTCAAGAAGCTTTAGATAAACGCTAAAATGAAATACATCAGATTAATATATAAACTGACTTCATTTTATCAAGTAACTTGACTCTCTTGTCTCTTTTAATTATAATCTTCTCTATTTGTATTTGTATAACACATCTATATATAATCAAAATAACAATTGCAATTGCACTAACTACTTCAATATACAACAATAATGTTTACCATATCTGCACTTTGGTTTTGCATGAAACGTATGCCAAGAATTTTGGCATTATGCTTTAATTTTATCACAATATTCTTAACAGTTTTCCTGTTGATTGGGTGTTACTCTACCCATCATGATTCCACTTTCTTGGTTCGTTATAAGTTCAATTCTGAATCCTCTTTTTATCCAGTGTTACAAAATTCTTTTGCTACTGAATCTGCTGAAACTAAAGGTTTGGAAAAAATTGTAGTGAAGTCTGGCTATATGGGTATCTGCATCGATAAAATCCCTTCCAATTTTAATTCAACTTCAAAGACCATTTGCTATTCAAGAAGTGCTATAGAAAAGACAAAATTATACAATGACGTCTCATTAACTTTATTAAATATTCAATCGACAAACTCTACATCGACACCAAGTAAGATAAATATTTTGGAATTAGCAAAACTAACCTCTGACAATGTCATACATCCATACGTATTGATGGCAACTATAGTATTGACAATTTTGATGTTTATTCTATTGGTTTACGTCACTGTCCCTTACGAATTGCCATTTAAATTATATATTAATCAACTTCTATTAGTATGGAGTAGTGCTTTGGTTCTATTATGGGGGATGGGTGCTACTTCAACTCATATTGGTGCACATGCAAGTAAAGATTTCATTCCTGCTGCAAGTTTAGGAATTATCTCAGTACATGTTGGTAAAAAAGCTGGCACCATGGCCTGGTTTAGTTTTGCCTTCTTGTTGATCGATTGTCTAATATTATGGTATTTATATATTAGAAACAGAAAATCTATTAGTCAAGCAATTGATGAGGTCCATCAGACAACAAGCAATCCATTCGATGATAAATTGAACGTTAATAAAAATACTAATAATAACTATGGTTCATATTATAAATACGGATCCGATTCTTCTACTTTACATTCAAAAGTATAAGTGTCACACTCGTACGCACATATGCATATTGATTTTTACTAAACTCGTTGGATACCCACATATATATACAAACATTCACACATATATATACGAATATATAAATATAAACAGACAATTAGACATCAATTTATTATCAAAACAGGTATCTTTTTAATTAAATATCTTTAAAACAGTAAATAAGAACAAAAATAATGTCATAAATGGCAGACTGAGCGCACCAATAAATTCAAGATTACTGATAGTGAAAAAATCAGTAACTTCTGAACAATTCTCATTGGTTTTAAATGTACCATTTTTATAATAAAATTCCATTAATTCATCTTTTTCTTGCCAAATGTCATATAACCAATTATTGAATTTATCTTCATCATCAATTGGTATATCTTCGATCTTTAATGCTCTCATATGTATATCAATTAGTTTAGGCATCTTACCTTCTAGAAAGATCTTTGGTAATCTATAAATCAATTCACCATATTCATCCTTCTTAACACCAGAGTAACCGATTGTGACGTCGTATACAACATCAATACTTGTGCTTAATTTTTGTAAAGTAAACCTTAATCCAGTTGAACGTGGTAATAATACATTTTCATAAGGTTTTCTATTAACTTTTGCTGCAAATTCTTTACTCTTCTGTCTTGTAGCTACACTCATGTTAGTCCCTTCTGGAAACAAAATAACAGAGTAAGGCCATTTAACATTCGTCCTATCACCAATTATACTAGTATCCCATGATTCTTCGCCCTCTTCATTAATCTCTTTTGGAGAGCTCCCTGATACAATACCACATCCTCTTGCATCAGCATCAATTTCACCTAATTGATTATTCATTACAAGCCTATCAACAGCCCATTTCCTGCACAAGAAGATGAATCTATAGTTTTTCATACCATAACCTAATATTGGGATAAATTCTAATGATTTCTTTAACATAATATAAACATTACCAGCCAAATTAGAGGTATAAGTAATCCACCATAGGAAAACCCAATCTGTATAAATCTGATGATTACAGATCATTACAGACTTCTTATTTAAATGTGATACGATTCTACCCTTTTTCAGATCTTTAATAAAGGTTCCCCTTGGTATAGTTTCATCTTCTGTAGTGATACGAACAGAAGATGGAGCAACGATGTTCAATACAGACACTAATAGTATAATAAAGCCACGTTTAGTCCAATTCAAACCATATTGTAACTTTGTTAAATTATTTTTATAAATAAACTTTAATATAGCTTGAACTGTAACTAAGAAAAATGCACCATGTATAGATACAATTATAGATAAAGCAGTAAAAAAAACTTTTCGAACTTTGAATATCAAGCGACCAGCACTCATCATTAATAGAGTATCTTGGATCACTATCAGATACCCTTCAGAGACTAATTCCACTAATTAACATCAAATCTTATGAACTGTTCTATTCATTAACTTTTATATCGTTATGAAGAATTAGATCGATATCGTTAAATTTAAGGCATATGAAATTTCCAACAGATAAAATGTAACATAAAGCTGACAATGTTACAATAAAAGAGGATAATGGTGATAGAAATCTTATAAGATAACTGTTGAAATGGTGATTAAACGTGGATATAGCAGTAAATGTTTATTTTGCATATTTTAAAGTTGAGGAAGTTTCATTAAGTGACTATTCAAATTGATTTAATTAGATTTAAATATATTATTTTACTTACTATTTACAAAAGAAAATAATGGTGTATAGGAAGAATTTATTGAAATTCTAATTCTTTTTGGGTTTTTCGAAGACTCTGGAGATTATTGTATTACAGCTCGTCAATAAATTCATAAATGTTATCGTGTTGTTTAAACAATCGTTCAATTTATTCCATGGTTCAACTATACCTAATTTGGTTACATCTTGTATAGGTTCTTGAATTCTTAATTGTGCATTTGTAAATGATGGATCATTGCTTGTGTTCGATACGTTTTTTGTTGCTTCAAATGAATTCATCCCATATACTGATTTTAAGGATTTTTCCATCTCTGAATACAATATGTTCAGAACAGATTCTATACCTATTTTATTGTAACTGTTCATGGAAGACTTTAATAGTTCGCTCAAAGTAGACGTACATTTGGCTAGCGAAATTCCATAAGATGGAATAAATCCACTTTTTAAGCCTTGGCATATTATATCATTTATTAAATTATCAATTTTGCTAATTCTTTGATCAATTTCAATCTCACTTTGTGCACCAATTTTTAATGTGATAGTTTTCTGTATCTGATTACACTCTTGACCGTCTTCCCAAGCTATCTCATTATGTAAAAAGGCCTCATCGACTGTTGCCTTAAGAGAATCTAGCTCGCCATAATATTGATCAGCACACATTTTGCTTGGAACATATTCACTATAGTTTGGGGAATATATACTTCCCAATGAATTTGGAAGTTTTAAAAAATTAATTAGGTTATGATTCTCTTCTAATCTTAAACCATTGTTGTTTTTCGGATCATATCTAATAACAATAGTTCTGCTTGGATTATCCTGACGTTTGTTTTTATTATTGTTTATTATAATTGATGTTAACGCATCACCACTGCAATTCCCTGAAGTTATTAATAATAGAGGTTTCTTCAACTTTGTTGCATATGTAATTGATGGTAAAATCTTATTGGCATCCTTTAGAGCCCCATCATATACCAATACCAATAGTTTTGAATCAATATAAACCAATTTTTTCTGTGGTATTTCGAGAGATCTTAAATATGCTTCGTTTGAATTCAATATACCATTTGAAAATTTCCAACCTTTGGTAACTTCAATCTCATCGAATGTCTTGTTTCCCCTTACTACTCTGACTATTTCATCTGACTTCAATTGATAATCTAAACTTACCAATATTTTTTTAATTATCTCTGAATCTTTATTATCAGCACACAACCTATCTACTATGGCATCTACTTCACTCTTCGAATTAGCACTTATTTTATTTCCTTGTATATACTCCTGAACCTGACGAATTGCCATATTAATGCCCTTCATGGTCTCTGGATGAGGATATTGATTATATTGTGTCATTAAAGATATGGCTAAGCTTGTTGCTAGTGGTGAAACTTTCCCATTATATGTATCCAAGAACAACTGTAATCCAATTTTACCCAATTTGCTGGCAGGATCTATCTGTTTGAGCTTATTATTAGCTTCATTCAGCTGTAACGAGTCTGTGTAGTCCCTTATTATTTTTTGAAGTTTGATTGAATCATTCGAATTTATCAATTGTGGGAATGATTTGTACTTGCCTTGATATAATAATTGTTTGTTATATGATGAAGAATTCAATATAGAATCTAATTGTTTTATAGCTGACAATAAATTCTCTCTGTACTCCGAATTATTGATTTTATATACAGGTGTATGCAATGTCTTTATTGTTCTATTTTGGATGTTATTGTATCTTAAATGACATCTTAACATGATTTCAGACTAGAATTGTGCTTCTCAACCTATATATTTACTATCAATTGTAAAGATGTCAATAGCTTTAAGTTCTTGTTGAACTGATTTAACTTGTGTGTTCTTTACCGATGAGATCAATTCAATAATCTTTATACTTCTGTATTGGTTGTGTGGGCTTTAATCAATGAATAATATTTTTAATCATCGCATAATAATTTTTCACTTATAAAATTAATCATGATGAAAAAACCTATAAGTAGTGTTACAAGCTAGACTTTTTGTTAATAGACATATCTTAATGTTGGAGTATTCCACAACAAATAGTAGTAATCTATCAATCATAACTGGTGGATAGAAAGTTTTCTGTTAGTTTGATTGAAAACGGTAAATTACAGATTGATTAATAAGAGTTTGGTTTTAAGATGATTTATTTTAAGAATGGATTAATGACTTAAAACTCGAGACTATTATTGGCCATACAGTAGTACTTGTGTTACTACATTCATAAAGGGCCTTCTTTTGTGAAAGAATCAAACACATGTAAGGCAGTTTTGTATGGCTACATTAGTTTATTATATAGAGAAATGTAAACCAGTTTACTAAGAAGTAGAGAGCGATGGTTTGTACATGAGTAGGGGTTTTAATAATATATCAGTAGGGATACCAATTATATCTTGTTTAAATATAAAATTAATTTTAATTTTTAATTCTAAATTTCTTTATCTTGAGAATCGACAATGAGTTGTTGTACTGTTACGTGATACCAGTGCTGTCACTGCCATGTCCAAGATATTTATCAATTAGAGTTTGAATTGTTGGGGATTTTGACAAGCCATTGAAATAACTAGAACCTGTGTAATTGGCAATACCAATAAGTAGTTAAATAACTGAATGTATAAGGTTGCTTCAGTACTGTTTTAATTATTGCATTAGTATAATGCTGTATATTTGACAATAGCTTCAAAAACAAAAAAAATAAAACGTCATGTACGTATGCGGAGCAAAAAGATAACAGAGTATGATCCAACCGAGGTTCGAACTCGGGATCTTCGCCGTGTAAAGGCGACGTCGTAAACCACTGGACCATTGGACCTGTAACTGTTATTCTCTTCTAAAAACCCTGAACCTTTCTTCCCATTTTGAAAATACATGCCGTTAATAGTGATTTTACCCAAAATGCATACTTTTTAACCATGTGACCTATTTCCTTTTCTTCACGTGATAAACATCGGTCACGTTTTTCAAGTTTGTTTCTTTTTCTTGCTTATTTTGTCGTCAACTCTTCTTTTTTTTTCTGACCACTGCTACTTGCCATACTATCTATACCTTACATACTATACTATACTATACTATACTATACTTTACTATGCTATACCATACCATACCAAGTTTGCAAAATTTTTCACTGTTCAAACGTTAACGTTAACATTAACACTAATGCAATATTGTAATGCTAATCTAATGTTAACTTTGGTGATGGATGACAGATCAGTATTATGAGTCCTTGAGGTCGGTTCAATTCTGGGGGGGAGAGTTATAAATGTTGCAATCCGCTATTTCTGTTATTCCTCTGAAAGGTTGGTTGGTTTCAATCGAATCTTTCTTTCTTATATCCATTCATTATAAAATTTCACTATATAGAAGTTGATATCCTAGGAATCGCTTAAACAAAAATGTTAGACGTCAATCAATTTATTGTCGAGAAGGGTGGTAACCCAGACTTGATTAAGGAATCTCAAAAGGCTAGATACGCCAGTGTCGAATTGGTCGACGAGATCATTGCTGATTACAAGAACTGGGTCAAGACTAGATTCGAATTGGATGAATTGAACAAGAAGTTAAATAAATTGCAAAAAGATATTGGTTTGAAGTTTAAAACCAAGGAAGATGCTTCTGAACTATTAGCTGAAAAGGATAAGATCAACGACGAAAAGAAGCAATTGATTGAAAAGGAACAACAAGAAGATAAGGACTTGAAGTATAAGGTTAATCAAATTGGTAATATCGTTCATCCATCTGTCGTCGTTTCTAATGATGAAGATAACAACGAATTGGTTAAAACTTGGAAACCTGAAGGTCTTGAAGAAGTTGGTCCAATTGCTTCAGCTACTGGTAAACCAGCAGCTTTATCTCATCATGAAATTCTATTGAGATTGGACGGTTACGATCCAGAACGTGGTGTCAAAATTTCTGGTCACAGAGGTTATTTCTTGAGAAACTACGGTGTCTTTTTAAACCAAGCTTTAATCAACTATGGTTTAAACTTTTTGGCTAAAAATGGTTACGTTCCATTGCAAGCTCCAGTCATGATGAACAAAGAAGTCATGGCCAGAACCGCTCAATTGTCCCAATTCGACGAAGAATTATACAAAGTCATTGATGGTGACGATGAAAAGTACTTGATTGCTACTTCTGAACAACCAATCTCTGCCTACCACAGTAACGAATGGTTCGAAAAACCACAAGAACAATTACCAATCCGTTATGTCGGTTACTCTACTTGTTTCAGAAGAGAAGCCGGTTCTCACGGTAAGGATGCTTGGGGTATCTTCAGAGTTCACGCTTTTGAAAAAATTGAACAATTCGTCTTAACTGAACCTGAAAAGTCTTGGGAAGAATTCGATAAGATGATTAACCACTCCGAAGAATTTTACAAATCTTTGAAATTGCCATACCGTGTCGTTGGTATCGTTTCTGGTGAACTAAATAACGCTGCCGCCAAGAAATACGATTTGGAAGCTTGGTTCCCATACCAAAAGGAATACAAAGAATTGGTTTCTTGTTCCAACTGTACTGACTACCAATCTAGAAACTTAGAGATAAGATGTGGTATTAAGAAAATGGGTGACAGAGAAAAGAAATACGTTCACTGTTTGAACTCTACCTTGTCTGCTACTCAAAGAGCTTTATGTTGTATTTTAGAAAACTATCAAACTGAAGATGGTTTGATCATTCCAGAAGTCCTAAGAAAGTACATGCCAGGTGAACCAGAATTTATTCCATTCGTTAAGGAATTGCCAAAGAACTCCACTTCTAACAAGAAGAAATAATTTATAAGATGACTTTCTAATAACATAACTATACAAATTTAGAGGTTTCTTTATATAATTTAATTTAATTCATTAATGTTTAAATATCATGTCTGACATTCACAATTATTTCTTTTATAGAACGGTATGAAAATACAACCTTATGAATAAAAATTCTATATATTTACATTATTTTTTTTGAAATTATAAACTTATTCCAATAATAAAAACAGTATCATTCCTTTAAAATTCTCTACTCAGTTTTATGTTTATCTAATGTCCTCCCAATATTAACTTCTGTAGCTCTTTTGCTCTTTATATATTCTTTTAAATCATTACTTGACTCTTTATTAAGTGCTGGAAAGAATCTATCTGAATAATAGTTACTTAACTGCTGTTCTCTTATTTTACTTAATTTTCTTTCATCGATGTACTTTTGACTTTCGATTTTCTCAAAATATTTCATAAAGGATTCAACATCGATGTTATCACATTTTATAGCCCTTTTAGATTCTTCAATTTCACTCTCGTTTTCTTTTGCTTTTAATATAGATTTAGGTTTCCTTCTTTGGCATTCTTTTAAAGAATATCTCTTACCATTATTGGTTTTATGATGACTGCAACGATTGTGGGGATGACTTTTATGTTTATGACGTTTATCAGAATGATCGAGTTTATCGGGACTTGTCTTTTGATAGACAAATAAATAAGATTGCTTATTAAACTTAACCAAAGAATTTTGAGGATTCAATTCCTCTTCTAATTCACTTTCATGTTCTGAAGGTTTTTCATAAAACCCTCTTGATTTAAAAGTAAAATTAGCGAATCCATCATTTTTTTTAGTTTTATTTAATAGTTCAAGCAGTTTTTGTTGATTCAAAGTGCCATCATCTACTTTTCTTAGGAT